ACAGGTACAATCCGAGACAGGAATCAACAACCATAAGTATGATGGGCGCACAAGTCCTCCAAGTCCTCCTCTCGCTCCAACCACTCTCGTTCCTCAGCCACATCCTCCGATCCCACCAACATGGACCGGAGGGTCTACATTCCGCTCTGCTTCTGCCTGATCTCCTTCGCAGTCATGGTCTATGTCAACTGATCCGATCTCCTCTCTCTCGCCATCTCAACAATTACCATCGATCTCTCCTCCCTCGTCCTCTGCGCCCGCGGTTTATCCGCCATTCCGGCATACCATACTCGTTATCTATCCCCGTCTAGTCGACACTAAATCCGACTCTACCGTGATGAACACCCCTCACCGCCCCACCCGGTTCAACAGCCCTCCCGTCCCACTATTGTACATCTCCAGCCACCCTGCGTCTACTCCGTACAGAGTAAGGACGGGACCAACCCCGACCTGCTCCTGTCCAGAGGAATCTCGATACATATATTCAAGATGGTTGAACATGTCCCCCTCGGCTGGGATCATCCCACAACAACCCCGGTCCATCGCATGACATGACCTAGAAATGCCGAAAATGGATCCAGAGATACCTAGGTAGACTCTGCTGCTCAGCGGGATGCGTCGCTTTGGTCTAGGACGGAGACCAGTTCTGCATGGCGGGGTTAACACGTACGTTCCATGCAGATATGCAAGCGAACAATTCCCGGTACTGGGTCTCTTGTCTTTTGTTTTTTTGGCAATATACCCTGCTTCGCTATGCCGTTCTTTCATCTCTTTCTTTCCTTTGTCTGTGAATAAATACCTGATACCCATACATCTGTCGCGTGGTTCAACAGGCTGGACTGTACCACCGATGATTCTCGCGTCAATATTGTTAATCAATCCAAGTGTCTGTTGGAAAATGCAGAATAGTCGATTACAGTTCCGCAGTCAGGGCTGCATATATCCACACTAGTCAATATTGTCCTGCATATCTGATAAGTAATACACCAGCCCGTTCTTCCTATCCACAGCGCTACCTGATATCGGTCTATCTATCCGCAAGACATAAATACAGATTCATTCCAGTCTAAGAATCTACCGCAGCGTCACGAGCTCCTCCGCACTGGTCGGGTGAATCGCCACGCAGCTGTCAAAGTCGCGCTTGGTCGCGCCCATCTTGACCGCCACGCCAAAGCCCTGCAGCATCTCGCCCACGCCAAGTCCCAGGATGTGCAGCCCGACCACCTTCTCCTCCGGCCCCGCGCACACCAGCTTGAACTCGGTCGGGTTCTTCTTCTTCTCCTCCGCCGGCATCACGTCGTAGTACATCGCCGTGAACTTGGTGTGGTAGACCTTGATGTTCTCGTCACCGTAGCGTTGACGGGCCTCCGGCTCCGTCAGTCCCACGGTGCCAACTTCCGGGTGGGCAAACACCACCGTCGGGATGTTGTCGTACGACAACTTGGAGTCCTTGAGTTCGGGAGGGCCGAACAACCGGTTACCCAGCTGGCGACCAGCAGCGATGGCGACTGCAATTTCGTTAGTAAATACGACATGGGTAACGCGGAGAGAAGGTTCAAGAAAAACACGCACCAGGAGTCAGTTCGGCATGGCCGGTCACATCGCCCAGGGCGTAGATGCCATCCACACTCGTGTTCTGGTACTCGTCGACGACGATGTGACCGGTCTTGTTCAGCTGGATGCCCGTCACGCCGAGGTTCAGGTCCTTGACCTCGGGGGCGCGTCCGATGGCCCACAGCAGCTCGTTGACCTCCATCTCGGAGCCGTCGTGACCGATCAGCTTGAGCAGCTTATCTTTACCCTTGCCGTCGCGCAGCAGCTGCACCTCCTTGAAACCGGCGTGGTGCTTGTGCAGAGTGATGCCGACGGCCTCGTACCGATCGGTCATGGTTTGCTGGATCATGGGGTCGAACTTGCGCAGGAACCGCTCTCCGCGGATGAACATGTGGGTGTCGACGCCGACTGTGCCCATGACACCAGCCAGTTCGACGGCGATGTAGCCCGCGCCGACGACCGCCAGCTTGGGCGGGAGCTCTTCAATTTCGAAGAAACCATCACTGGTAATGCCGTGCTCGGCCCCCTTAATGTTCGGGACGATGGGGTAGCCACCGGTGGCGATTAGGATGTGCGGCGCTGTGTACCGTGCCTTGCTGCCATCCTCCAGCGTCACCTCGATGGTCTTGGGCTCGACGAAGCTGGCGCGGCCGTGGACGAGGTCAATGCCTTCGCGGTCCCAGTTGCGCTCGTAGATGCCGTTCAGTCGCTTGATGGTTGCGTCACGGATGTCCTTGAAGTAGCGGTAGTTGACCTTGACATCGTTCGGGACGTCGTAACCGTAGTGTTGGGCCGCGTGGAGGGTTTCATTCACGGTGGCAAAGTTCCAGGTCATCTTCTTGGGAACGCAGCTTCATAATTGTTAGCTCCAGCGCTTCCGTGTTTGTGCGGTGACCCCATCCGCGCGTCAGGGACCGATCGATCGCACTCACCCAACGTTGACACAGGTACCACCAGACCGGCCACTCTCCACAATCAGCGTCTTGGCCTTGTACCAACCGGCCGCACGGCGTGCGCTACCACTACCACCGCTACCACCGCCTAGAACGATGTAGTCATACTGTTGCGTCTGCACAGGAGGCATGGTGCTGGACTCGGCGGGTGCAGGGGTCGAGGAGAAGTGCCGGGTGAGCGAGGCAAGTCGGGATCCAGAGGGGGTCGAAGTGACGACAGACGATGAGGAATCCAGGGCGATTCGCCGGTCACTGCAGAGAAGAGGGCTGCGGCGAGCAGTCGTGGAGAGCGACTTGGGGACGGAAAGAGAAACGCGGGCCGGACAGGAAGAGGGGAGCTGGATACGCCGGGTCTTTAGAGACTGGACTAGAAAGGGACGGAGGGAAGAACGGGGAACCATGGAGAGGGCGTGATGGTCGGAGAGGGAGAGAAGGCGAAAGCTGAGAGGGGGGAGGGGAATGCAGAAAGCCGGCGAAGAACAGTCGATGACGGTTACAAATCACGTCAGTCCGCCGGGGATTAATAATAGTAATAAATAATCCCCAAGGACTAGAACCCGTGGGCCACTCTAGCTGGGCAATTGATCGATCGGATCTCTACGCTTCGCTAGGACCCTCTACGCATCCACATCTTCGTTTTTCTACCTTTGTGAAATTCCTCCGTTCATGGACCGCCGAAGTGGACGACTTCGGCGACTGCATCCAGGATGCGATTGGTCATCGAAATATAACTACACCCTAAACGGCCTCTAGATCCAACCGCCATTCCACATCACCACATACAAGGGAATCGATATATGAAGAAACTAAACAGACAGGAAACAAAATCCATGGCGAGAACGCCAGCGCCAGGACAGAAGCTCATCAATGTCTTCAGAACTCAGGGGAAGGCACCATATATAACCCGTAAATGAGAAAGAAGAAGTGTGAGAGATGCGAGAGTGCCACGCTAAGGTATTCGTAAATGACCGTGAATCGAAAGTGAGACTAACCCCCACTAAGATGGCAGCGAGATCGACGCAGGGTCGTCCAAAAGAGGGCTTCCAGGAACAGCATCCAAGGCTACGGCATGAAGCGCGGGCTTGTCGCCGTCGTGGAGGAGGCCACGCGCCTGGCGGCTCAACATTTCCTTGACCCAGTCGGCCACTTCCTGATCCTCTGTCGCTGACGAAGCATCCGTGCCTGTATCATCCCCATCGGCAGCCGGGGGTTGCATCAACGGTGCAAGCCAGGGATGGCGGAGGAGCATGGAATAGGAGGGCCGGTTGGCGGGATTCTTGTCCAGACACGCGCGGACAAAGGCATGTGCCTCATCCGAGTACCCGGATTCGGGGAGAGTCGGCGGATCGCCGTGGACGATAGCCTAGGGCAAATATATCAGTACTGTCCTACACGGCGGATTGTCCGCATTCCTGACCAAGTGATACTCACATGCAGCTGGCTGAAGATATTGTTGAAGGTCTCCGGCGGGTAGGGGTATCGACCGATAGCACATTCGATAATGCTCAATCCTAAACTCCAGATGTCGCTCTGCACACTGTAGGTGCCGCCGCCGCCGGCTCCCGATTGCTGTACGCCACCACCGGCAATCCGCTCGGGGGCCATGTAGCTCTGGCAACCGATGTTCGTTTTCGCGATACTGGCCACCAAGTTTCCACTGACGCCAAAATCGCAGATCTTGATCTGTCCCCGGGTGTTGACCAGGATATTTGTCGGTTTCACGTCGCGATGGATGATGTTATGGTCCTCTTTCAGCGTGCGGAGGCCCATCACCGTCGACAGCGCGACCTTGCGAAGGATATTCTCTGGCACGCCTTCCTTGTACAGCTTGTCGATCGACCCGCCGTCCATATATTCCACGCAGATATATACCGCCCCTTCCTGGAAGAAGGCGCCGTAGAAGTCGATGATGAAGGGTGAAACGCAGCGGTGGAGGATTTCCAGCTCCATGATGATCTGCGCGAACTTGTTTTCATCCAACTCGAGGCGAATCTCCTTCATCGCCATAATCACCCCGGAGAGGCTGTCCTGGGGCGAGTCCGATGTCGAGTCCGACCCGGCCGGCCGACTCACGATGCCGCTCAGCCCCATGCCCGGTTTTCGCATATGCGGACGACTGTGGCGGACTTTGTAGACAGTTCCATAGTTGCCCTTGCCTAACTCATCCAAGCGATCGACTTCGTCCAGCGAGATATTGAAGCTGTGGCCCGAGGAAAACTCGATCCCGCCCCCGTGGAGGATCGCCTTGTTTTTGAAGTTCAATGTCCCCGTCTTGGTATCGATAAATTCCGAATACTTCGAGAACGCGGTCTCTGTCTGACCATCCGCATCATTTGCCGGCGACTGGTTCCCAGACGCACCATTCGGCCCCGCCGCATCCGAGAGCTTAAGACCGGGCTTCATCCGTTTCGCCGCAAGCCCTCCTGGTTTCGTCGGGGTCGGGCTGGGGGCCTTGCCTGGGATAGAAGGCGAAGACACCCAGTTCTTCGTCTGCGGGCGAGCACCGGGGGGGAGACGGCCTGCCAAGGCACCAGCGAGGGGGCCATTGACGACGGAGGGCGAGCGGGCACCTGGACTGGGACCAGTCGGGGGCGTTTTTGGGACGGCGCCGGTGGAAACAGTATGGGGTAAGGTCGGCGGAGCCCCCTGTCGGGAAAGGGAGAATGCCTTCATTTTCGCCAAAATATCCTGATTCAGCCCCCCCTGGGCGGCCCCGCTCATGGAGGCCTGTGGACGGGGGGAGGGCACCGTCCCATGTCGCGCGGCATTGATTTGACCAAGGTGGGTGGACGACGCAGTGATCCCTGTAGACTGATCGGGGGTCGGCCGGAGAGACGGTATGGCAGTGGGAGGGGTCGTGACCGAGGGTGAGAGGTCATCGTCGGTGTGATCGGACTTGGAGTCCCGATCGAGATCGGTAAGAGGGTCCCTGTCGGCGGACATGGTAACCGGATGGGGTCACGAGGTTCTTGTTGGACAAAACGAGGTACGGCGCTCCAGGGGATGGAGGAGGAGATCTGAGTAGGCCTAGAGGATGGATTGGATGTCCAGATTGCCCCGACAGGGTGAGGGTTCGTTCGGTTCGTCTGGACGCGGGGCAGCACTCAGGCCATTACCGGGAGGGAGAACGATCGAATAAAAAAGGAATGAAACTAGAACGGCGGTGGTCTCTAATGAGGTGGGAACATCGAGGAGATGGGAGGGAGAGAGTCCGGTGGAAAGAAGGAAAGAAAGAAAGGCTGGGGGGTTCTGGAAGAAGGGAGGAGGGAGAAAAGGGAAGAGAGTGAGAGAGAGAGAGAGAGGTAGAAGAATAATAGTGGGGGAGATGGACGGACGGAAGAGTTTGGGGGGGGGGAAGGCAAAACCACACGGATCACCAGGATGCTTGATTATTCGGAGTTGACTCAACGTGACTGTCTGTTAATAAGAGAGGATCGTTTTAATTACATCAATCTTGACGGATTCCTTGTCTTTGCTGAATTCTTCTCCTGATCTTGATGGTAGGTTCCTACGAAGTGTACTACATACGTACCTATACGCACCTATCATACAGTAGTACTATGTAGTAGGCCCTTACTACAAAGGATCTACACCAGAGTACCTACTACCTAGTATACCTTGTACCTACCAAAGGTACCTAGGTAACTAACTAGGAAGTAGATAGGCATTCATCGGCTGGAAAACAACCCAGCCAATCGTCCAGCCAGCCGGTTCCATCGTGGATCAACCGTTTTGCAGCCACGAGTTCGGGTGTCGCCACAGTCGGGAGATTTTGTCTGCCTAGATTTGCCACCTGCAGATCGTGTATACAGAGTAACTATGATCCTAGATCATAGCTGAGTACGGCGTAGGTGGTTTAGCACGATCCTCATTTGCGTATTGTAAAGTCTCCTTCCTAATCGACTGTTTATTCAAAAGTCCAAGCACAATGATCATGAGCATGATAAACTAAAACTACCTAGGGAGGTACTCCGTACTAACTGTACTTGATCGACGGCGACTTATCGACCCTATCAGCGGGCGGACCCTTCCATCATGCTGAGATCAAGAATCACCGCCATCCGGGGCAGTGGCACGTCATCTTCAGCAGAATTTCTTCCCATTCATTCATTCATCCATTCACCCCCTTTCTCCTCCATTTTTCTCCTTCCCCATCTCAACAATTACTCTATTACTCTACCTTGATCCACTCTCGTCCCATTGAGGTCCCATAGTCCCAATAGGTCCATAGGTCCATTGAGTGTTAATATCTCCCTTTCCCACCGCCTGCCTGATCACGACATACCAAACAACCAAGGTAGGTACCTAGCTCTAGCCGCCCTGATCTGATCAACCCGATCATGAATATAGCTATGTATTCATGTTGATTCCTTCCCTAGCAGACGATTGATCATTATCCGAAGCCCATCCGACCTCCTTCTCTGCGACAACCCGCTTGTTCATGGCCATCTTTACCGCCCCGAGCTCCTTTCAACAAAATGTCCGACGGACCTTGACCTCTTCCCAGTTCCCAATGGGCCCCGCCTCCGAACTCCTCCAGAATGGACCTCATTCAAGCCATCCCTCCTTCTTTCACCTCGTCCTTCTCGTCTTCGAGGCCGTCCTCGAGGTCGTCTGTGTCAGTCTCCCGGGGTACATTGCGGCAAGACATGGCATGTTCGACGCCGATGCTCAGAAGTTGGTGGCCAACTTAAACGTCATGTTATTTACCCCATGCCTGAGTATGTCGACGTTCCATTCTCAGTTGAGCTGAGAGTCGCCTCGCTAATTACCTTCTCTGGCTTAGTCTTCACCAAGCTGGGGTCCCAACTGACAGCTGAGAAACTCTCCGATCTCGCCATCATCCCCTTGATTTTCGTCGTTCAAACCTTCGTCTCCTATATGTGTGCCTTTACCGTCTCTCGATGCTTTCGCTTGAAAAAAAGGGCTGCGAACTTTGTAACGGCCATGGCGGTGCGTATGACTCTGCATGAGGCGCAGGCTAGTCCCGCTCACTCTGATACAGGTCTTCGGTAACTCAAACTCGCTTCCCATTTCCCTCGTCATGTCACTTTCGCAAACTCTCAAAGGTCTTCACTGGGACCGGGTCCCCAACGACAACGACGACGAGGTTGCCGCACGAGGCATCCTATACCTTCTCATCTTTCAACAACTAGGTCAACTCGTCCGTTGGAGCTGGGGTTATCATGTGCTCTTGGCTCCTCGAGACCGTTATCTGGAGGAAGGAGAACGGGTGGTGCTCGGAATTGAGCCCGGCCATGAGCGCTACACTGACAATCCGGACGAGGTTGAACCCGACGAGCCCCTGGTTTGCACCCGCGGGAGCTCCGATGACCTGTCGGAGCACTCTCAGACGGGCTGCTCTCGAAACTCGGACGGATTTCTTTCCGGAGATCAGACACCAGTGACCACGCGCACTTACTCGTACACGAAGCTGGCCCCTCAGGATGCTGCCAATGGCGACGACAACTCACCCCCCGTACTTGGCCCCCCTCCCAATGGACCTTTTTTGCCGAGACAGAGCTCTCGTGGGGATATCCTGTGCTTCCCCAATGTGGAAGTTCCGGACGCAGAATCTTCCACTGGGTCGGGTCTCTTCTCCAAATCGAAGGCCTACGCACACCGTCTGGCCGGTCGTTTTGCGAAAGGCTGGGAGAAGCGGACGGACGCCCTGTTCCGAAGACTTCCAACCGGTCTACAGAAGTCCAGCTCAGCCTGCTGGGGAGCCCTCCGGCGATTTGTTCGCGGCGTCTGGGCGTTCATGAACCCGCCTCTCTGGGCAATGCTGGTCTCCATTGTGGTGGCGTCCGTGCCCTCGCTGCAGCGCATTTTCTTCAACGAAGGCACTTTTGTGAATAACTCTGTGACGCGAGCCATTGGTCAAAACGGCCAAGTTGCCGTCCCTTTGATTCTGGTGGTGTTGGGAGCAAATTTGGAGCGTAATACGCTGCCGGAAGAGGCACGCCAGGATTTGGAACACCCGAAAGAAGAGCGTAAGCTCATTGTTGCCTCGCTGGTGGCCCGCATGCTTCTCCCCACGCTGCTCATGACCCCTTTGCTTGCCTTACTCGCAAAATACGTGCCCGTCAGTATCTTGGATGATCCGATCTTCATCATCGTCTGCTTCCTGCTTACGGGTGCCCCATCCGCCCTGCAGCTGGCCCAAATCTGCCAGATCAATAACGTCTACATCGGGGCGATGTCGAAGCTGCTGTTTCAAAGTTATGTTGTCTGGTGAGTCTCATAGGAAGAATGCCAGGTACTGTTCATGGCTAACTGATCTAGGATTCTGCCTTCGACCCTTGTTCTGGTCATGTGCGCCTTGGAGGTCGTGGAGTGGGCCACCGCTGCTTCCTAAGATATGTGGAATGACACTTGTTCATGTGTATTATTATTGGTATGGTTTGGCGTTTGGGTGTAGCTTAGCGTATTCAGTGATCATATCTGAACGAGATTTCCCGCGCCAACGTGCATTCGGCGAGGCTACAATATGACCTATCTTCCAGTAGCTAATCCCTAAGGCCGACCTCTCCTCCACCGTCATAATTCCATCCAGTAAGTGTCCCTAGTGACGACCACCGATGCCTTTTGGATTTTCTCAGTAATCCGGTCCTCGAACTTGATGTGCGTCTGCCTGGTCACGGACGGTAGCAACATAAAGAGAACACCTCGATTCTCCGGCAGCGGATCATTTATCTCCTTGCGATCGTAGTGCTCCGGCCTCTGTACTGTGGCCAACTCCATGTCTGGGTGATCCTCACAGTATGGTCCCAGGTGAGAAGATTGGCTGTACTCGAGCCACGATTCGGAGACCCATACGCCTAGGTGAAGATCGTGGATCGTATCGAAGATTTGCCGGAGCCGGAGCTTTTGGAATCCCATTTCCTCCGAGCCCTCTTCATAGTCGATGAGAAAGGGTTGAAGTTGCCGCATCAGATCCGCCTTCAGCTCTTCAAGTTTGGCCGACCTCCGCTCCAGCATCTGTTTCCCAAGGGGTGGATAGGCGCTCGTAAGAATACTGGTACCGACCAGACATCGGACCGCAACGGCCGTCCACCGATGCACCCAGTCTTCATCGTCGGGTGTGACTTTTTTGAGATACAAGTCAGGGGCCATCGCACTCAATCTGTATCGGGAGACGTACCTCGTTTGAACCAGTGGTACAGGTTCGTCATCTCGGTGTACGAAGGATAGAATAGCTTGTCGCATGGGCGTTGGGTGGCCACCTGGCCGCCTTCATCGTCGAGCCAGAAGAATGGATCCATCAGGATATCTTCATAGATCCGCTTGGCTATCATGGTCCGAACGACGATTTCCGGTAACAGTTCAGCTGTGGTCGGATGGAGGAGCTTCACCGCGCCCTCCCACGTCCTAGGATGGGCCCAACCGCGCAAGCTTCTGATGATCTGATCCTTTTGTTCGCCAGTGAGTCTTTCCTCGATGATCTTGTTGTCCTTGATCAGATACTGGCCCACGAATTGATCGATGAAGATGTAGATACTACCTAAGTGTTGGTTGATCTCCTCCGTGGTCATCGCATGGAAAAATTTGCCGTTACAGCAAGGGCCGTAGTCTGCACGAAACTTCTCATACATCTCCTCATGATCCTCCATCGTTGGGTTCACCATCTGCCGGTAATTTTTTGACCCTGGTTCATGCCCCAGAAAGATCGCCCGATCGTGGGGGGACATGCTGGCCAGCTTAAGATTGCACTTTTCCAGGTCCATGATCGGGGGTGGCGGTTTTAGGTCTTCCTCTGTTATGGGCACCAAGGGGAAGTTTTCTGGTCTCCCGCCCCAGGTGGTCTCCCAGAAAAGTTCAAGCTCCTTCATAACCTCTGCTTTCCTTTTTTCGAAAGCGGCGGCTTTCTCGTTGTCAGCGTCTTTGTTCAAGCCCTCATTGTCCACGTCTTTGTTCAAGCGGGGCGACCTTCGCAACTATGAGGAACCCGACATTGTCAGAGTATGGCATCACAGAAGTTCGTCAGGTCACATACCGTTCGTCTATCATTATCAGGCTTATCAGCCTTGTAGCTGTCCATCTTCTGACAATCCTCAACTGTGGGTTTGGAAGGAGAGCTCGGGCGTGATCCAACCATGTCCTCCTGTCCATCCAGAGACGGCAGTCCATCAGCCATTTGCACTGCAGCAGTGATGGTTCCTGAGAGATCAAGAGGGCCTTGGGACTCACGTTCATATCCTTAGCATTCCTTTTGCCTTGGGTGTGGGATAGCTCCTCTCCCTTTCGTTTGCACATGATGGTTGGCTGGGTTGGAAAGCGGAAACGAAGAGTGGGCTGAGACAATAGGAACAGTGACTGATGTGTGCTGGATGAGTTTTCGATATGTTCAATTCACCCAGAACGGACGATACCCCCTTTTATGTTTGGGACGAACAGGATTCTCCAGAGAGCCCTGGACGGCTCCGGCCAGACAACGAACAGGCCCAGAAATAGCACAAAGACCAGGAAGCCTCCAAAACAGACAACTCACCTAATACTGGAACTCACTGCGTCATGTGTTTCAGTTTGCAGAAAGGTGTCCGCTCCCGAGACTCCTCGTCTGGACTCATGGCCTTTGAGCCGTATGCTTTGGAGGGATACTTCCAACTCCGTCCCGCGGTGGTTCATCTCCTTTGAGTGTTCGTTTTCTTTGAGCGTAAGCTTCAGCTCTATGAGAAGATCTCTGGATGTTGAGTACTGGACGCTGAATTCCTTTCTTTCCTGGCGCCACCACGACTCTTTGTCTGCAGTGTCAAACATCGGTTCCGATGAAGGTGAGCAAAATGCCACTCCTCTGAATCAGGGGGGCTTCTGGTAGCAAACAGTGCAGGAAACCCGGTCGTTCTGTGCCACTTCTCGGCAATGGGGTATTGGCCTTGCAGCTGGTCATACCTGAATCCGCGCCAGGAAAGTGCTGGACCAAGATGCGATCCATGTTCATGTGAGTATGGTAGGAAACAGGACCACTGGGATGAGAAACGAAGCCCCTCCAATAGAGAATGTCTCGGGCAGCGGTGGTTTTCCGGTCCAAGACATGAGACCAGCGCCTCCAATATGCATCGGAAGCTAGAAACAGAATCATGCAGACAAACGAGCGGTGGGAATACATCATGCAACCAAGCTAAGACATTCCATCAACTGTACACAGCTTCTACTGACACTGCACATGCCCTACGTCCTGAATAAAGCTATAGAATTCTAGAGCAGAACCCCCGATTGATTATAAAGAGGCATCTCTGCCCTGTTACCGGTATGTCATCACCAATTTACTCTCTCCATTCGTCTCCGTACGGGGCAATCCCCCTCCCCCCCGGATACTCTTTTACACGCTGCTCCCTAGGGAAACATTCCCTGTGAGACGAACATGGCTGATAAGAACCACATTGCCGTCGGGGTGGACTTTGGAACTACCTATTCCAGTACTGCCTTCATACCCAGGCGTTGTCCCGTCACCGGCTAACCCATGAGACAGAATTCCGATATGTTGCCCTGTGGAGATCGCCCAGGACGTACATAAGCCAAGTTTATGAACAAACAGACGACAAGCGCATTCTTATTCCCGCGATCCCAAGCCTCATCGCATACCGAGATGAGAACCCTGGGTTGTCCGAGCCTTACTGCTGGGGCGCCGATGTTCGACCGGGAATGACCATGTTCTCCTGGTTCAAGCTCCTGCTCAACCCGGAGCTCAATCCCAATAGTTACTACGATCGGTCTTTGGAAGGGGCAGTCGCCATGGGCATCATGAGGCGTCCCGAGGGAAGAACCCCTGGCCAGGTCGTCTGCGATTTCTTGAGAAAGCTCCGTGGCCACATACTCGATACCTTGCAAGGCCGAGTAGATCGACCACTCGCGGATTGCACAATTCATTTTCAACTTACTTTCCGCGCTACCTGGTCCACGGCGGCTAGAATGTCAACCAGGGAGGAGGCGTTTCGTGCTAGTTTCGGCCCAAGCAGGGAAAGGCCGTGCGATACACTCTCGCCGCTGATAACAGAGCCCGCCGCAGCCATGACTTCTCTTGCGTCAATTCCAGAACGCCGCATCAACATTTCACTCAGGGCAAGTGTTTTCTTGCTCAATTTCCCTCTCTCATGTTCCTCTCTCATGTTCCCGCTAATCGTTGGTGAACAGCGGAGAGACGTTGTCTGTATCTGTGATTGCGGAGGCGGTACTGTGGTAGGTGGTCGATTGTTCTAGTTGACGATATGACCCTGGGGCATTCTTCCCTGGCTGATTCCTGGCAGGATGTAGCATGCTATGAGATCTTGTCAGCTCGTGCGGACATTCAGTATACCGAGCTTACGGCCGGGACCGGTAAGCATATGATCTTAGATCCGTGCATGATTGTTGACTCTGTACAGGGACACTCTGTGGGGGAACGTCAGTGGACCGCGAGCTATATGCTTGGATGACAGTGACATTCGGCAAGGCCTTTACTAACCTTCCCCTGCACAAGAAAGGCGAGGGGTCTGCCTTCAAGCGGAGCTTCCACCGGGCCAAGGAGGATCTTGATATCTTACGACCCAGTGACGAGTTTCTTCTGGAGCTTGAGATGATCCTTGATGAGCCCAGACCTGAAGTATATGATGCTCATCGGCGCCGCGTGAAAATCCCCGGGTACGGATCACTCCAGGCGACGATTTATATCCATGTGCTATCAATGGTGCGTTGCTGACCACAGTAGTCCAACTTTTCAAAAGTTCTTCACTCCTGCCGTTGACGGGATATGTACGCTACTACACACGCATTTCCAGATTGTCCAGGAAAAATTGGGCGAGTTCGCGGTCAACGTACCCTTCCCCTACGTCTCTCTGGTACCGATGCATGTAGACTAACTGCCACCCAGAAAATCGTTCTAACTGGAGGATTCGCGACTTACAGATGTCTATTGCAGTGGATCAGCGCGAATTTCGCAAGACATACAACGCACATCAGTGTTCACCCGATGTTGAATCCGTACAACTGCTGCCCCCTTGGATCCATCTCGCCCACAATGAGCTGACAGTGGCGTACAGATGGTTCAACGTCGCTGAGGGTGCTGCGCTTTGGGGCATCGGCTCACCGCCACCATCCCATCGGTTCTGTCCCCGACATTATGGCGTTCCTGGTACCGGTCCTTTTAACCCGGCTTTGGATCAGGAGGAAGATATTTTCATTGACCCTGATCATGGGAAGAGAGTGGCTGGCTTAGTGACCTGGATGCTTCGAAAGGTATGCTCGACCCTAGTACTTGACTAGAGTCAATACTGAGAGAGCCGGTACCTCAAGGGTAAACCGTATGAACTTGGATTTGAGGCGGCATACCCTCTGGAATTCTTCTACTGTGAAGGGGAGCCCATGTACAGATTTGTCCGTGTCTACTGCTCTGATGCAGAGCAAGCTCCTCGCAAGGAGAGTGATCCTGGTATGCACCTCTTGCTTATACATGTACATTTTATTTACGCACATACTCTGCAGGCGTCGCGGTAGCTTGTCACATCCGGTGTGACTTCTCGCATGCAGAACTGGGAAGTCCTCACTCTAATGTGATGGAAGGAAGAGCCGTGTATCTCATCAAGTGCAAAATCGTGGTGGCCTTTGATGGAGCCGCGGGTCGGCTTCGTTTCGAAGCATTTTCACAGGGACAGAGTGTTGGAAGTCAGGTACTGGAATTTTTCTAAACGTGAGGTTGGTCTTGTCATCCTGTCTAGTGGACGGACTCGCCTGGCTGCTTCGCATTCCCTATGGAGTTATGCCTGTCTGGCCCTATCATCTCGCATGTCTCTGACGCCGTTCTCTCCAATTCATATGACCATTGTCTAAGAAGAAACGTAATTGACTTGAGGGTAAGCTTGTCTATCGCAACACCATGCTGGCAATCACCACAGAGCTCATATGGCTCCCCGTAGCGGTATATGGCCCGCCCCGAACGACCCGTTCCTCATGCATCTGCCGGGGCTCCAGCCGCAGGCTCCGCTCATACATCTCGTTGACATCTCCGGCAGCTTGGATGCCGCGGACCACGAACTCCTGGAGCTCCGCCACGGGCTGGAGGCTGTACGGCATATTCTGGTACTGCTGCATGTCGTGCAGGATCTCGGCCGTTTTGGCGCGTTTGCTGAAATTGATCATTCCCGGTTGGACGAGATCTGGGATGCCGTCCTCGATAAAGGTCAGGTCTGTGAGGTAGATCCCTGCAGGAGCTTAGGTCAGTGGACCTGGCGGGTACAATCTGCGAGGCAGAGACATACCGAGGAAGGGCACGCACGGCGGACTCGTCCGTCGCAGGGTGTCGCGGTACAGGGCAAAGTTCTTCTCGCTGGCCATGAGCGTGCGCAGCTCCTGGAGCGTTGCGCGGATGCGCGGATTAACCTGGCTCCAGGTGCGGTGGAGTCGGTAGACGGGGCTGGTGCCCAGGCCGGAGATGATGGACATCATGGTTGCGTAGTTGTGGAGGTCGCGGCATTTCTACATCCTTAGCCTTAGCCTTGTTACTGAATGGGTTCGACAGGGGGACGCAGGGGATACCTCAGCCACCGTCACGAAATGCTTAATGGTGGACACGCGCTTCTTCATCTCATCGTGTTGGAGGACGAGCTGGCCGACCCAGTTCGCCAACCGGTTGGAATGGAGGATCATGGCGTTGACGGCCGTCGAGGTGTGCGTGGGCGAGGCGGTCTTCGCGCCCCACGCTTTCTTGAGACACTCGCGCGGCTGGATGCGGGCGTAGAGGCGCGATTCGATGATGGTGAGCTGGCGCGCGAGCTCGGTCGGGTCGATGTCGAGCAGCTTCAGCTTCTTCATGTTCTTGGGGGTGACGGGTTGGGGCGCGGGGGTGGTAGGCGGTGACACGAGGCGGCGCATGAGCTCCTGGCCGTGTAGACGGCTCTCGATGACGGTGAGCAGCTGCGCGGCGGTGGGGATGTCCATGATGGCGGCGGAGGTTTGGATCTGGGCGCGCATGTGCCGCAGGAAGTCCTGTGTGGGCTCGTCGTGCGGCTCCATCCAGAACCGCTCGAGCCAGGTCTTGAGCACGTTGACGACGCGGAACCGCACCGTCTGCTGTTTCTGCGCGGTCCAGAGGGCCAGCTCGGCGGGACGGAGCTGCGGCGGGGCGTGCATGTAGAAGCGGCCGAGGAGGGCGTCGAGGAGCTCGGGGGCCGTCACGAAGGTCGGGTAGGTCATGAGAAAGGTCTCGTTGAAGGAGGCGTCGAGACGGTCGTGACGCGTCAACTGTTCGACCAGCGCGGGGAGGGTGCCTGCGCGGACGGTCTGCGGTGGTCCGTCATCGTAAATGATCTCGTCGTCGTCGCAGTCGAGTTTCATGAACCACGGCAGCGTCGCGGCGTCGAGCGTCGAGCCTTTCCGGTGGTGTTGAGAGTGGTAGCCGCCGGTCGATGTCGTGTGGGATGGTGCATCCATAGTATTCTGCTCTTGCGTTGAGGGGGGAGAGATGAAGAGAAGGGTCGAGTTGGTCCCATTAGCGACGAGCGAGTCATAGGGTTGGTGACGAGAGATGTCAGTGAATGCCTACTCCGTAGTAAGTATCTTGCAGCCGTGACAGCCCCTCGAGAAGTACGGAGTAGGAAATTCCGACATCGCTTTATCAATCTTATCACCGAGATGATCAGCGTCTCCACCTGGGCTGAGGTGTTTTCTCTCTCCACTCTCTGCGCATGACGGACATGGGAAGAAAAGTCCCGAGTGATCAGATGCTGCTCAATACGGAGTATGTGTTCTATCAGGTTACGATTCATCAACGGTGTATCGGGATATCTATATACAAAAAGAGACAATCACATCATCTCTCCCTTGTTCTGCTTCTTGTCCACCCGGAAGTTCCGCCAGACTGCAATCGCAGGAATCCCCAAAGCCATCACGCACGTGGCCGTAATACACGCATATTTCATATACTCTCCATACGCCTCGTTGATGGCGAGGCGAACCGCAGACCCAGCCGGATACTCAAGCTGGGCGGTATAGCCTCCGCGGTAGATCTTCATATAATCCGACTTGCTTCCTACAGGAAGCGCCTGGCGCAGGGCCGAGGGAAAAGTGTTCGAGTAAATCGCAGCAGAGACCGCATATCCAATGGCTCCTCCCAGACTCGAAGACAGTCCGATCATCGACAACATCATCGGGATCCCGTCGCGGTCGGACGCCGCCATCACAGCCATGTCCTGGCCGATCACTAGGGTTCCACCGCCGAACGCGATAAAGATCTGGCACATCACTATGTAGCCAATACTACCATCCGCGGTCCGAAAGTGGATCATCAGTCCGGCCCCCAGCAGAACCAAGGGGAGCCCAAAGCCCAGACAGGTGTATTTGAATTGTCTCGTGGCGTAGACGATGAGGCCGAATATGGCAGACCAAAAACAGGAGCCGACGTTATAGATCTGGCCCACGTATCCGGTCATACCGATGCTCAACTGGTACACTACCATGCAGAAGTTGTAGAAGTAGAGCTCCCAAGCGTAGTAGCTGAAGAACAAGAGGCCTGCAACGCAGCAGGCCCCTACCACCGTCCGATCTTTAAGCAGATGAAATTGAATGAACGGGCACCGAGCGCCGTATCTCTCCCAGGCACCGAAAACAAAAAAAAGAAGAAACCCAATGATGATCATGGTGATGAATGCTGCGCTGTTGTACTCTGCCTTGCCGTAGGATTGGAGGCTGAACGGGAGCAGGAGGAGTAGAAATGCAGCCGTGAGGAGGAGGGCGCCAAGGACTAGAAAGCGAGTTCAGTATCGAATCATAGCAGGAACGGTAGAAATCGTACCGTCAAACTCATTTATATAGTAAACGACAGACTGCATCATATTACGACCACTCGGTTCGCGGGCGAAAATATACATCCTTTCCGCTTTCCGCTGGTAGAATTTGAACACTCCTGCCAAGGGGAGAAATATAAACGGAGTTACAACAGCAAAGGCGCCGTAGGCCCAACGCCAGGAAGCGTGTTCAATGAACGACTGTGCTGCTAACGGACCGGTGAATGCTGTACAGATGAACGGAGTGCTGGCGAATCCAAACGCAAAGGCCCGGTTGCGTAGACCGGATGTATCTGCCATGAATACATCCAAGATGAGGAAGATGGCGTCGTAACCCACCCAGTAGAAAACGTAGCCTACTGCATAAGCATTGGGGCCGTTGCAAGCCGCCAACAAGATCAGTCCCACGAGATACACCCCAACGAACACGAGGAATCCCTCGGTGCGACCCCAGATGTTCAAGAGCTTGGCTGCAGGAAGTTTGACTACTCCACTCACGACACTGGCCACAATGCTGGCGGTACTGACGGCTGGGGCCACCTCAAAGGATGCGTAGGCGTTATGGATGACATTGGTACTGATAGACGACTGGAAGGCCAGTACGAAGAAAGAAAGCCAGACACTAAGGACGGTTGCATGGCGACTTAGCAATCTATAAAAGAGCTGTGCGTGACGCTTTGGAATTGTACTCACAGTACATAGGTCATATAGGCCGTCTTCTTGCTCCAGGCGAGGGCAGCCGCTTCGGCCTTTTGAACACCAACCGGGGCTCCTTGCGTCACTTCATTGAACCGATTCTGAAAAGAAGGTTCTTTTTGTGTCTCAATACTGAACCCGTCCGGATTCTCGCGAGTGGTGCCAGGAGATGACACTCTCACTTCATACTTGGACTCTCGGAAACCGGCCTCTGCAATGGTCTGAGCCAAGTGTGTATCGTTTCGGCCGCGAGTTGTACTCAGGCCTCCCATGATGACGGGAGTACGTCCAGAGTGTGTGTGTCCGATTTTGTGTATATTCAGATACTGGAAGTGGTCTATAGAAAGCAGAAGCTGCCTTGTCTTTATTATTACATCTTGGAATACCACCACTGCGACTATCGGAGTCGAAAAAGCAACACCGTGAAATATTCGCACAAGACGCGCTTTCCGATGTACTCCGTAGATCGACGAGGGAGCCCAGGGGGACGTCAGCGCCAATAGAACGGTCGGTCAAGACCCGGAGCGGAAAGCTTAGGGTTGATCGGCTCGGATCAGATAACGTGGGTGGGGTCAGATAAATCGCATCTACCCCTTCTCACGCACCCCAAATGACGATTGACCGCCTGTTTTGCTGTGCTGGGTTAGTGTCGTTGGGCGAAAGGAGCTTAGCGGCAGGAGCTGACTGTCTCATTGACTAATGGTTTGGTCTCGGGCCATCCTCTGCATGGCCTTGAGTCCACCCGATTTCGGCTGTTCGTGGCCCATCCCACCTCGTTGGATGTGACTATAGCCTTACGATTGGATGACGGTGTTGATGAGCTGAGGAGGACAGGCCGGATATGATTCCAAAAAGGAAAGGAACACCGAATCTTGGCCAGGAGTCCTCCGGCAAACATATTATTACAGCCTTCTTAGGGCCACCTTATGATGTAGGTCCCATCACATGTGTGTGATTTTTTTCTGTATCATCCACTCTGGTGGGGTGTTGAGCAGGTCGCCTCAAATAGACAGTAAGGGGCTCATTAGGCTCGCCCTGATCACTCTCAGGCCGAAGATGTTGGTGGTCGTCTCGAAGAAAAGCAACTAGGACGCGATAGGTTCTATCACATGAGAATTTCTGTAAAAGGTTATGTTTATGGGGTATGTAGCTCGTCATGGCAAGTTTATATGAGAGAATGATTTTCCATTGACTTCAATAGGTATATAGGGAATCAGGAGTTCTAGCAAAGACCACGATATATATATTGGTGATATCTGTCGACAAGACGCCATTAACACTGGAATCTACAACACCGAGACAGTCAATATCAATATTGCCAAGTCCAAGTATTCTCTGAGTGATCTAATTGACATCGTCCCCATCATAAAATCGCTCGCGAGGTACTATGTAGTGTTATATTATCCTCAAAACACTAACCCTGAGTCTACTGGTTGAAACATGTCCTAAAAAAAAGTTCTCTGGTGTTCTGAAATAAATCATCTGTATACTTCGTACACTTTATTCAACCTCCAGAACTACTACGTACGTACTAGAATAATTGTCAAGGAGGAACGTGCGTCTTCGGAGACGAATGCCTGCATGTCCCTCTTTTCCTGATTGGGCTTCATTCCTGAGGCATCATTAATGCATGTCACCTCCCCCTTCGCTCGCTTCCCCTCCTTTCTCTCCCCTCCTCCCTTCGCATATATTCTGATTCACAACCATCATCAGCCCTCCGTTACTCCCAAGCGACACAAGACTCTCCGGTTCTTGATACGGATGGAATCAATGCCCTTGCGACTACGTCCAGTATGAAACAATATAATGTTCTTCCCTGTGCGACAAATGACTCCGTACCGAGAATCCCCCCTAGAGGAGGATAAAGCGAACAGTATGACTCTTTGGGACTCGTGGCTGGACAATGACTTGTGTCATTGTTGTGTACCGTACTACTGCTGCTATTACATGACCACATAGGGGCTCTCTTCACCTCCAGATGGCGGCATGAAGAAGACAAAGATGGATGCGATCGTGTCTCATCGCCCGTCGGATCCGAGGCTTATCTTCCCCATGCGACTCTCGTACTACTACAAACATGCAACCTGGGGTCTATCGATGACGTCGATCTAACGGGAGACCCCCTATCAACGGAACTGGCTATCGATCCAATGTCACGTTGAGACCGAGCGGCCCGATACCGAGGTCGCGGTGCTCTTTATCTCTTTCGAGACAAAAAGGAGATTGGAAGCGACGGAGGCTTGGTTGGAGCTTATCACCGTCGAATTGATTGCCGCAGGGTACCTGACCACCACCACCACCACCATGCACGGGGCGTCATCGACTCCGGGGAATACGGGTCCCAGCGCCCGATAATAATATGTGCTTTTGATATGGGCCTTGTTGATTTGTTCTATCGCGGCGATTTAGTTTCTCTTTGGCGGGTGGTCGGTCACCTGAGCCTGAGGCATCCTGTGGATTTTTTTTTGATAAGCGGATCCGTTCGTTGGTCCCTTTTCTTGTTCTCCTTCTCGCCACTCTGCGACACACACACCTCATCACCTCATCGCATCTGCTGCTCCATCCTCTCGTCCTCTTCATTCTCTCTGCTTTCCTGGCAATCGACCCTCACGCGACCACACCCTCCTCCATCCTGGGTCTGTCACCTTCGTCATCCGTGGATCGGTGGAGATTCCTGTTCAGTTCCGACCGCTTGTTACCCGCATCGTTGGACCGCCATTACTTCCGCACCCCACTTGGGGTCACCCTTTTTTCCCTTTTCTCTTCATCCACAGTCGACTCGGACGTGCTGTCTTCTCCGGTCTTGTCCAGGGTCCCCCTTCGATCACTCCATCGTCAGCGTGTCCTGTCGCTCAGGCCTGGTTTCTCTCCGTGTGGATCGGTCCCTGTGATCAGTTACCTTCTGTGGACGTGAAAGCCAAACTGTCCCAGATATTATCCCTTAAATCCCCGGCGCAAGGAGATGCCCTCCTTCACCGACCAGAACGGCGATTCAGGTCCTGAAATCGAAGGTAGGCTCATGAATTTAACTTTACCGTGCCCGTTCCTGGACCCCCTACTCCTCGGCGTAGTAGTAGCAGTCCCGAGGTTCTGCCTGCGCGTTGTCTGGATCAGATGATTTCATTGCCCACTGCGACTTCTTCCCGTCCAACACGTTCCTCCTCGACCTCCGTTCCACCCTCTAGATCTCTTCCTATCCGCTCATTCCCAATCGCGTCTCCTCACGGCCCATGGATTCTGATCATGTGAGAGTAGGTCTCGAACCAATTTCGGGTACCGGCCTGAACGTCGCCTCGTTCCAGAAGATTCGACATGCCAATGGTAATGGCTCTACCGCACATGCGCCGGATGGCTTCGTCCCCAAACAGCACCGTGCTTCCATGAGCAAGAAGTTGTCCGCGAGGCCTCCCATTTATCCCCCGCCCTTCATCAATAGCCAAACCTCTAGCGTCATCACCGAGCCGGTCACGCGGATCGAGAAAGATAAAAGCATGAAGAATGGTGATGACGACTCGCAGAACCTCCTCTTCCACCAGGTGTATCAGTGGCTGCAGCGTGAGAGAGCGCGGCAGAAGGCGAGGAGGAACGGGCCCTATGAGCAAGCGGAGGGTGCCGTCAGCGATGGGGATGATGATGAAGACGACCCCGTTGGTGTGCCCTTGGTAAAAACGACGTCACACCCGGCGGATGGTCCATTTGCGCTGGACCAATTGGAGAAAATCCTGCTTCAATACGCGACATCCCGAAACCAGAACAACGGATCGCAGTATCCTGTCCGACGCCCTCCCACCCGCCGGCGAACCGCTGTGAAAGGACTGCGGCGAGGCTCCGCTTCGGAATCAGACTCTGCCGAGCTGGACTCTGCTCCCCCGAGCGTTGATGCGGCCTTGGACAACTCCAAGACGCTGGCCTATAGTGCCGGCGAGGTGGATAATGATGAAGGCAACGACAATGGTTCCAACGCCAAACGGGCCAAGGATAAGGAAGCTTGGACGATATTCAAGACTGAAATTGTTCGCCTCACCCATACCCTCCTGCTGAAAGGATGGCGCAAGCTTCCAATGGAACTGGCGGGAGATATTGAAGTGGTGCGACTCAGCGGTGCCCTGACCAATGCTGTTTATGTGGTCACACCACCACAAAACATTCCTCCTCCTAAGTCGGACGACGGGTCTTACACTCTCGTCCCCAGGAAACCACCCCCGTGAGTCATCTGGTTATGTCTCTGAAGCTGCCTGCTCTAACATGTGCATAGGAAGCTGCTTTTGCGAATCTACGGTCCTCAGGTAGATCATCTGATTGACAGAGAGAATGAATTGCAGATCCTGCGTCGCTTAGGCCGAAAGAATATTGGACCACGAGTGCTAGGAACCTTTAACAACGGCCGGTTCGAAGAGTACTTTGAAGCTCGTCCTTTGACCCCGAAGGACCTGCGGGATCCTGGAACAATGAAGCAGATCGCCAAGCGCATGAGAGAGCTCCATGAAGGAATTGATCTTCTGGAGGAAGAAAGGGAAGAAGGTCCTATGGTGTTCAGGAATTGGGACAAGTGGGTGGATCGCTGCGAGCAAGTCACCAACTGGCTAGACAAGGAACTCCAATCCAAACACAATGAGACCAAGGCTGCGTCCGAGCCCTGGCGGCAGCGCGGCTTCGTGTGTGGTGTACCATGGCCGACTTTCCGCAAAGCCGTTGAGAACTACCGCAAGTGGCTCGTGGCGGCTTACGGGGGGATTCAGGAGATCAAACGGCAACTCGTGTTTGCCCATAATGATGTGAGTACCGGATCCCTCCACTTTTAAACCAATCTAACCGGAAAGACCCAATATGGCAATTTATTACGCATGGAACCGAGCTCCCAATCTCCCCTTCTTCGCCCAGAGAATGAGCACAAGCAGTTGGTGGTGATCGATTTTGAGTATGCGTCGGCAAACACGCCCGGGCTTGAGTTCGCCAACCACTTTGTAAGTGCATATCATGTTGCTTCTTGGCGGCGGCTAACAAGGCCAGACTGAGTGGTGCTATAATTACCATGACGCGGAGACCTCCTGGGCATGCAATAACCGAGGCTTCCCAACTCCTTCAGAGCAACGGCAATTCATCAGCGCCTATCTCACCCACCGACCCAACCTCGGAGGACAGTATTCTCCTTCAATCACTCCGCTTATGCACGGGATCTCTGCCAACATGACTTCCGTCGCTCCGCTTGACCTCAATGCCGGCTCTGATTTTGACTCTCAGAGGTTGACAGAGCTGGAAAAGTCCCACGAGGACAAGCTCGAGGCAGATGTTTGTTCGTTGATGAAACAGGCCCGACTGTGGCGAGTCATGAACTCAGCGCAGTGGGTAGCTTGGGGGATCGTTCAGGCAAAAGTACCTGGCATGGAAGAGGGCATTGCAGCCGCTGCTGCAGGTCAGGATAGTAACGGCTCAAACGGCTGCTCCACCCACGCTAACGAGGACCATTCAACTGGAGTCCCAGCAGCAGATGTGGAAGTGGATGAATCAGACGAGTTCGACTATCTTGCGTATGCGCAAGACCGGGCAATGTTCTTTTGGTCAGATCTCCTGGCACTGAACCTCATCCGGGAGGATGAGCTGCCAGCACCCATGGTGGAGCACATTAAGTCTCGCATCATTGAATACTAGTCGAGTCAACGGCTCAACCATATATCTCTCATGGCGGTGTTTTCAACAGCACGTGTTCATAGTTACGACTGACGACGTACATAGTACCTAGCGAGAGTTACGATGGCGTTATCGTTAGCGTTAGCATTAATAGCGTTATTTCTACAGACACGGTCCTGGTATTTAACACATGCGACTCATCCCTCGTAGATTTAGGAGAAGCAATCACCGCCTCATCAATTTCTGCTGCGTCTCCAACTGCGCCTGCTGCACCCATTCATCAAACCTCCCCTCACGCTCCTTCATCCCAGCCACGCCCTTCATCATCTCGCCAATAAAGCCGACAAAGTTCGACCGACGCAGCGTATTCTCCCACGCCCACGCGCGCCGCTTCCTCTCCTCGCGCTCCAACAGCTCCACATCCCCCGTCTCGCGCGCCCGCGCCCTCAGATCCCGCACCACCGCCATCAAATTGAACCGCGTCTCACCCTCTGGGTACCGCGCAATGCGCCGCTGCAGCACCCCAATCACCTTCTCGGGGAAGGTGTCGGCATCGCACGCGCCATGGCTGATGGGGTACGGCTGCAGGCCGTCCAGCTCGTACAACGTGCCGTTGACAGGCGTGTAGGCGATGAAGTGGTAGACGTCCGGGTCGTCGTCGCGGGCGGGGCGGGTGGTTTCGTCGACGAAGGGGCTGGCACGCGCGAAGGCGTTGTGCGCAGTGCGGATGGTCTCGGAGTTGGAGAGCGCCTCGCCGCGCAGGTCCGGCGGGAACCCCGTCGTGAAGTCCTTGAACGAGCGCAGCTCGCTGCCGATGTCGATGGGCGGCGCGTGGCTGGCGGCCGTGTCCTGGTTGAGGATCACCGAGAGGATGGCCTGCGTGCCGCAGGCGTTCTGGATCGTCTGGGCCGCGAAGAAGAGGTCTGTGCTGGCGTTGGTGTCGTACGTGCCGTCTTGCGGGGTTGTGCTAGAGGGCGCCGGGTCGCGCAGGTATTTGAAGAGGAAGATGACGCCGTAGACCGGGCTGGCGGTTGTTAGGTTGGGAGTGTCGCGCACGGTGCTTGCGGGAGGGGGGAAGTACCTTAGTGAGCGGATCGTGTCGGCATCGAGCGAAATGAGCTCCTCAAATTGAATGTCTTTTACGCCGAGGTTCTCGATGAGCGATGTGAAGACGCCCTAAGTTAGGTTAGCTTTGTGGTAGGCTTAGAGGTGGTTGTCGAGGCTTTGAGCTCACTTCGTCTGATTCGATCGTGCTCCAGCCGCCTCCGTCGGCCATGTTGATTGTATGGAACGAAGTGAGGGCCCTGCGGGTTGAGTGTGAGAAGGAATGTGAAAACACTCGGTGTACTCGGGGGGATAGTTGCTGTCACCGTCTATGAGCTCCGCAGGTGTCGGAGATTGCCAAATCGGGTGTTTGCCTGCGATGCAAACAATGTTATATAATGTCGTTATCAGATATAATCACGTGATGATAGTGTAACCCAATTAGGCATTAACAACAATATCTCTACACTTGATCGCAGAGTTAGATCCTATCTTCTAAATGGATTATGCTTGACCTGGTTCTTATGCTGATAAACGCTCCAAATCCAGCTATAGGCGCTCACACCACGCTTTCACCACGTGGATGCCCATGACTGTGCTCGAGTACTGGGCGACTTACTATGAGTCCATGATGTTGGATTGATGGCAACACTATAGACTTGGACAGGCGACTGAATGCACCATGGCACAAGACGCTACCCAGATTGGAGCTTATAGGTGCATGCATATATCTCGAACGCTCCCCTGCCAGACCCATCTATTACGTCCGCCGATCTCACAGACATGGTTCCAATGTCGAGACTTGTCCATGCACAACGCCGCATCGCCAGTGATTTCTGCCAGACCACAACCATCTCCTTTGCTTACCACGAGCCAAAGTGAGAGGTTCTCAATACAACCCTGTGATGAGGAGAGTCTCTACCGCTACACGTCAGGGAGATGGCTCTGGAATGAGGGCGAACAGCTTTCTCGGCGATATGTCAAGTTCAACTTAGGGGAGCTCGCCCGGGTGGCAACGGAAGCGACAGGATCGAGATTCTGTGTCCAGGTCCAGAAGCTGCCTGAAGGCAATTTCAGTAAGGTGTTTTTGATGACAATGGACAACGGTAGGGAAGTTATTGCAAAGCTGCCAAATCCAAATGCCGGCCGCCAACATTTCACTACCGCCAGCGAAGTAGCGACAATGGATTACGTACGAATGGTTTTTCATACTATAGCTTACTTGCAGCTAATTTGATGGTCAGGTCCGAAATATCCTCAATGTTCCCGCACCCAAGGTGTACGCGTTTAGTTCCTCGGCCGACAATCCCGTCGGAGCTGAGTACATAATAATGGAGCGCAGCCAAGGCGTCGAATTAAGTAAACACTGGGACGAAATCCGAGGCCCAGCCAAATTCGAGATTGTCAAACAACTGGTCCAATTCGAAAAGTCCCTTTCATCGTCTCACTTTCCTATGTATGGGAGCTTGTACTATGCCAAGGATCTCCCTGGAGTTTCACCAGGTCAAATCATTCAATCCGCATCGGAGGACCCTGCCATAAAGCCAGTGTTTGCAGTTGGACCTACAACCAACAGGACCCTTTTTGATGATGGACGCGATGCCGTCAGCGTGGATCGAGGCCCTTGTAAGTATTCCAGCCCAGACTCCGGGACCACACGAATCAAGCTTACTACAGGGGCCTCACTCGAGGACTATATGCTTTCCCGTGCCCAGCGCGAACTTGCGTGTCTGCAGATGTTCTCAACGTTCCCAGGCCAACAGGGCCTATTCTATGGGCCGCGACAGTATCAGCCTAGGGCAGATCACAAGAGAAAAACATTGCAGGACTATATGAAAGCTCTCCCGTTTTTGTTGCCAAAAGACGAGGAGGTCTCGAAACCGGTCCTTTGGCATCCCGATCTTCATGCAGACAACATCTTTGTCAACCCGAATAACCCGACTGAGATCGTGTCCGTCATTGATTGGCAAGCTGTGAACCTGTCGCCGCTGTTTCTCCAAGCCCGTCATCCAAGACTTATTGAATTTGATGGGCCAATTCCCGAAGGACTTCAGTCAATTGAACTGCCCGATAATTTTGAGCAATTAAGTCCAGAAGAGCAGTTGGAAGCGAAAAAGCTTCGAGCCGCTCAGTCACTCTACAAACTGTATGAGATCCAATTGATCCGCCAGTGTCCCGAAATATATCGCGCGTTACAGTTCAGAGATTCGCTTCCGGTGCAGATCATGGGGCTATCCGGGTCTATTTTCAGCGATGGAGAGCCGGTTGTTGAGGGAATGTTAATGAGACTCGAAGAACAGTGGTCAACCCATGTCGGATCATCTGTCCCCTGTCCACTCTCTTTCAGTGAGTTGGAGAGAGATCGGCAACGGGAGGATGAGGCACTGTGGAACCGCAGCGTCGTGTTGATGGACGAATTCCTCACCCGCGTTGGGGCGTATCGAGGGTGGGACGGCTGGGTCTATCATGACAACTATGACCGTATGAAAAGGCACTTGGAGAGGTGTAAAGGGGACTTTCTAGATGGCCACTGTGTTTCAGAAGAGGAAAAGAGTCAGTGGGGGAGTGTCTGGCCGTTCACCGATACCCCAGATGAGCTTGAGACAACAGACACGCACTGACAATGCCGTCCGCTGAGTGGGGTTGCTTCATCTATGAATAATAGCGTGGGTGTCATTCCCCAAGACTCCACCGTGTCTCTCCAAATGACTAACCTAGGTACATCGAGCAGCTTATCAGCCCTAGTGAGGGGTATGCCCGGCATTACTTCCACTCCGCCACATTCTCGTCCACTGCATAGAACAATCTTGTCAAGTATATCATTCTCCGGCACTCTAGAAAGATGGCGAACCAACCCAACAACATCATGCTCTGCATCAATGACATTAAAGAAGCAGCAGCAAGCAAACTGCCCACATCCGCCACAGGTAGGGAACTCGCACATGGAAGTCTCGCCGTTCAAATATTAATACAACAGTAGAATTCTACAACTCCGGCTCAACAAACCAAGTCACCGTCGCCGAGAATACAACAGCATACACCAAGTACCGGCTGCGACCCCGCGTGCTAGTGGACGTCTCGCAGGCAGACCCTAGCACCACGGTCCTAGGGCAGAAGATCAGCTTTCCGCTCTGCGTCTCCCCCGCGGGTCTCCAGGCCATGGCGCATCCGGACGGCGAGCTCGCGACGAGCCGCGCGTGCGCAAAGCACCAAATCCACATGGGCGTGTCGAGCTTCGCCAACCACACGGTCGAGGAGATCCGCGCGGCCGGCCTGGGCGTCGGCCCCATCCAGCACGCCATGCAGATCTACACGATGCAGGACCGGGCGAAGCAGGAGCGCATCATCAAGCGCGCCGAGGCCGCCGGGTGCAAGGCGCTCTTCCTGACGGCCGACAGCCCGATCCTGGGGGTGCGGTACAGCGAGCACCGCAACGACTTCCGCTCCCCGGCGGGGTTGGGATTTCCGATGCTGGAGAAGACCTCGGAGATGATCCGGAGCGAGCGCCACGAGGACGGGTTCACGGCGTTCAATTCCAGCTCGCATTCTTGGGCGCAGGAGATCCCATGGCTGCGCAGCGTGACGAATATGCAGATTTGGATTAAGGGGGTGCTGACCGCGGAGGATGTGCAGCTCGCGGTTGAGTACGGCTGCGACGGGGTGGTGGTGAGCAACCACGGCGGCCGACAGCTGGATGAGACGCCCGCGACGATCGACGCTCTGCCCGAGTGTGTCAAGGCCGCCAAGGGTAAGATCCGCGTCCATATTGATGGGGGGATCCGCAGCGGGACGGATATCTTCAAAGCGCTGGCGCTGGGAGCGGAATGCTGCTGGATTGGGCGACCGATGATCTGGGGCCTTGCGGTGAGTGCGCTTTCAGCTAGTTTCTGCAGGTGGCTGATTTTGTTGCAGTATGATGGAGAGTCGGGCGTGGACAAGGTCCTCGATATTCTCTACACAGAGTTTAAGAGATGTATGCAGTTGACCGGGTGTCGCACGGTTGCTGATATCACGCCGGCGTCGTTAGGGATTGTACGAGCGGATGGACCATTGGCTCGGCTGTGACGGGAGTGTGATGGGTATGATCTGTGATGCGGATGTGAAGATCATTGACTATCATGTTATTTCAGACGCATGATGATCTTGGATGGGAGAGAAATGACAGTTAATGCCAGTCTCTGTTCATAGACATGCATTTGGTCCACCGTGTTCCTGCTACTGGCTCAAACGCAGTAGTATATACCTATATCTTACGGAATGGAGGCTGACAGTACTTCTATCGTGCTCCAGGCATGGTGCAGAACAGTTGCATTGACATATCACAAAGCTTAACCCGACTTTCGCTCAAAAATCTGCAAGGGGCTGGCTGTGGACAGCCGCACATTGTCGATGCTTGTAGTAGTTGCTTTGTTAGTTTACTACCTAGTCTTGTTGATTGACTATGCGTGTATAGTTACAGTCCCGAGCCGTCCACGCAGGAACATGCATCGTCTTCTACATCACATCAATAGTCCCATGCTGTCAATCCCCCTACCTGTCATATCCTCATCCTCACCTCCGACAGACCCTCGAAAAGGGGCTGAGAATAAAGATATAAACCCAGAGCCCCGGCCATATCCCACCTTCACTACGACCCTCAACAACCAAACTCCCGTCTCCTCTCCAGATACCTCACGCAAGACGTACGCAATCCACTTCCCACCCCCAAACCCCACTAACATATCCGTCCAGTCCAACCATCCACAATGCAACTCACCAACTTCCTCGCCGCAGCCGCCACCGCGCTCCTCTGCACCACCGCGCGCGCCAACGCCGTGCCCTGCAACGGCCGCGACATCTGGGCGTACCCCGGCGACTGCCACGCATTCTACCAGTGCGGTGCCGGCAACGTCGGCGTGTTCATGACGTGCGGCAACGACCGCGCCTTCCATCCCGAGCTGCGGACTTGTGGGCCGATTACGCCGGAACTTTGTCGGTGATCACGGACCGGGTTTGTTGGGATGGGTGGGTTGATTCTACAGTGTTATGTAGTTGGTTTAATGGAGGGTTTGACTCTAACTAGTTGATACCAATAATTTTTGAATCCGTCATAAGGGAGAGGCGGACCTGGTTCAGAGATCACCACGCTTTCATATCCAACAGAACAGATAATAGAACGAGCATGGGAGCCCAACGGATAAAGACAATCTCAATGTAAAGAGCCGGAGCTCCTCGAAAAGGAGAGCCGTTTCTGAAAGCAAGACTGTATTTATTCTGCTGAGGGGGCTCTTAAATCTACCGAATGTCAACAGATATTGCTTCGTTGCTTCCAATCAACAAAACAAACAATAATGCCGCAGAGAAACCACTAACGCCAATGCAGCCTGATAAAGCAGAGAACTTACGCCCGGATTCAGGAGTATGCCAGAAGAGGAAGAACTGGTGGCGAAGCTGATATCAGCCGGCTTTTGTACCTTCAAACAGCTGTGTCCGACCTGTCTCTTCCACCATCTTGCCTTGCCTTATAGGGCGACTCCTTCTTGGTCTTTCACGAACCAAGCCCCCAGTCGTCATCCTCCTTTTCTGGCGTCTGAGATGGTTCCTGTCCCGAATCAGGCTTTGAGCGCATCGTGATCGTCGAACCTGGTTGAATGACCGAGTCCCAATCGACGCGGGATACGGGGTTGCCGCCAGGCCCAATGAGCTCATAATCGCCATTGGAAATATGTTGCGAAAGAATGGAATCATGAACGAGAACTCGCTGCATGAGCACCTCGAATGCCTGGGGGAAGCATGTCAGATCTGGTTTCTCTCCTATAACAGGCGACTCACCGTAAAGGAACGACACTGTTCAAAGGGAAATAGGAACTCCCGACCTGCAGGGTCCTTCAACGTAATTAACTGCTGCGCTGCGCCAGGCATGGCATGCGATGATGCCTCTGCTGCGCCTGCTCTTTCTTCTGCAAGTTTCAATTTCTCGCATGCGAGCCGCGCCGTCTCTTTAGCCTCTCTTTCCTTGCGCTTTTCTTCAGCGAGCTCCTTACGCATGTTCACGAGCCGTTTCTCCCAGATTTGTGCAACCTCATCTGTCGCGTCTCCGCTGCGATAGCTTTCCGGTAAGATCGCACGAGCCGAAGGCCAACCAACGGGCGGGTCATTTTTCTTCTCTGTTGCCGTCACTGGAATCTGGGCTGGGCTACTATGATTGCCGCGTTCGTCGTGCACCGCCGCCGCTGGTGGCTGCAACGGAGTGGAATCAAGCCTCGGAAGATGGCATTCGACATCAGCCAGCTGCACCCTGGCTAATTCCGCTTCTACATCCCGGCCCAGGCTTTTCAGGAGGAGATATGAAACCTTTCTTTCCATGCGTTTCAACAATGGATTGTCAAAGAAGACAATGGCCGAGTTCTGACGGAAGGTTTCGGTGTAATCAAAGCGGAACGGGAAGGAGGCGTTAAATTCAGCTAGACGGCGCTGGAGGTCTTTGCGCATCCCTTCACGGCTGGTGGAGTCGCCAGAATCAAGCAGCCGAAACTCGTCAATTAAGCAGCTTAGATAACCCGAAGCATTCTGCAGCGTGCCATAATGTAACCGTGCCCGGGCCTGCACGGCCTGGAGCCTTTGTTCAAAATCACGCGAGAGTTGGTAAATTTTCTGGAGCACTGCCTCCTCAAGACGATAGTCTCCGAGCTCTCTGGCGCTTGCAGAAATGATATCGAGGTTTCTATATCGCAAGGGATTGCTCAAGGTCTGTGTTAGTCCTGCTGTCTCCACGATCGGGTCTCTCGGATGAAGAGATTGCACCCCGCTGGGAATATCATGCGGCCATCTCTCCGCAACCGATCTCTGCTGATTGTCCGCCAATTGACAAATTGTCGATAATTCCCGAGTACTCTCGAGCAACGCCCAATCCAGATACGTTCGGCTTTTGATCAAGTGTGGGTGCGCGGAAAGAATGGCCGATGCTAGGGAATGAGACTTATTGAAGAATTGGCTATGAGTCGTACGGACAGCTTCAGGAGCAGATCCATCATTCAGGAAGCGCGCAAGGAGGCATGCATTTGCAAACTCTGTCAAGAGTGCCTGCTCGTCATCCGTCACAACACCTTTGGGCTGAAGGAAGACTTCACCGGCTTTGGATATGTCGTCAAGCTGGGCAAATTCTTCAAAACTACCGTCGTCGACGTAATGCCCTTGCCTGGATGCAAATAAAGGTAGTATAGCGCGTAAGATACGGTGCGACTCCCACAGAAATCCTTCTTGGACCAAGAGACGATACCAAGGACCAATTTGAGGGCATTTCCCCTGCAACGCATTGCCTCTGCCTGCAGAGCGGTGACGAGAAGTCTCTTTTTTGGAGTGGAATGCCCGGTAGTCTGATCTGTAGCGTGCGTATGCTGATCGTGATGATCGTGGGGGCGGCGGCGGTGGTGGTGGTGGCATACGATAGTAGTCTTCATCATCGTTTGTCCATCTTATTAATCCGTCGTCAGTCAACGACCAGTGCAACAGGGACTTGAAACGTTCGCTCTCCAGGAAGTTTGAGTGTGCAGCTGCATATGCGATGATGCGCACACAAGCCTCCACAAGTTGGATCTAAGGAAGACTGAGAAATGTTCAAGACCGGATTTGGGAACGTACTAACCTGCGATCCGGCAATGTGTTCTGACGATTGAGAGCGGTGGTTGCTTGTGAGGTGTTTCAACGCCTCTGTCGACATTTCCAATGCGGGTATTACTGCTCCTCTGGTATAGATCTCGGCAAGCGATTTGATGACCTTCAGTAAAAGAACCTCCTCATCAGAGTATTTTACGTGAGGGTCAGTGAGCCGACTGGATATGAATTTGGAAAGTTGGCCGAAGTTTTCTTGCTCCAGAAGAAGGTCTGCGAATTCGGCCACGACGGGGAAGAAATCGACGTGTGGCGCGAGGCGATCCTCAAAAAGCTGAACTGCCTGATAGAAATGACCCAATCGACTCAGTCGAGCCAAATTTCCTAAATCATGGCTTATATCCAGGCCTGCTTCGATATTGAGATGGACGGTAATGTCTTTGTCTTGGTCTTTGTCGCCGGCACAGATCAAACAATTATTGTCGCGATTGCTGTATGATGGCCCGAATTCTTCTGCGGCGTATACGTATCCTGGAGATTCTGGTTTTGGTTTTTCTCTCGCACTTGTCCATGGTCTCCTAGCTGAATCGCTAGGCTTCAGTTCCTCTGGATCAGAGACTTCTGCCCATTCATCATACGGGCCCCGATAACTGTAGCTCCCAACGGACGGAGGTGATACCTCCACGCCTGAGCTGTCTGAGTCGAGCTGGGATGGGCCTATAGTGATATTGAACGTCATGACGGTCGCTGATGTGAGAGGAAGATATGATCCATCATTTGAATTTCTGGCGCCGACAGCGGATGGGCACAGCCTCCCCAAGGCGCGACGATGCATGCGTAAGCGACACGAATACGTGGTGGTCGACGAGCTGCGGCAGTGCCACACTATTCAGTGGTCAAAAAAGAAAAGATGAGTGAGGGGTTCTTGTTTAATAGCGTTGTTCCTCCTCCAGGGTTGGAATCATATCCGCACTCCACAGGCATCACCATCACCATCACCATCCAAAACGATGCTTTTCAAGCCGCCGCCATCTTCAATCAAGCCACATAAGTATGTCGATATGTGCCAGACGCAGTCGAGTGCCAGTCTTTGCGATCTCACCGTCGGAAATCTTCGGGTCGATTGTTGCCTTCTCATGTCCAAGATGCGTTGGGGGCAGCTCCGCGATCAGAATTCCGGCCTAATGTACCTGGACCTGACGTTTCACCAACCTGCCGACTGCAAGCTCGCACAAGCGACCATCACCTTGAACTTTCACGGCGTTCAGAGACCGTCGCTCAGACGGACAACCTCCGGGCTTGAAGTAACCGAGTTCTTTGGCCCGCAGACGCTGAGTGGTGAAAAAAGAGAGCGACAAGTGTCCAAGACGTTCGAGGCCAACCCTAAATTTGGAGCCGGCAGCACAAGTGTCGAAGGAATTGGCATGTCAAGCAGGTCCGAAGTCAGCTATGCCTCGCGATGGAAATTTACAGGCACGCGATTCGCAGCGTCGTCCAACGACTTATCCGACGACCTGTTTACGCGAAGCAGTCGGTATCGACAGCTTGTTTGGCATTTGGAAGAAAACGAACTAGAGCGACAGCCTGTGCACCCGCCCGTTGTCCATACCGCACTCGTTTTTCACCACGACTCCAGCCCATTCTACCTGGACCTGCAGATCGAGGTTAAGATGCGGCGATGGCGCCACCGCATCCAGCAACGTCTGATCTGTCCCCCTCGAGGTCGGAGGGCCATGACGAGAACCAAAATCGAACCGGCCCCCAACAAGAAAGCAGATCCGCAATTTCCCCAGCTGGCCAGGAATTTAAATCAGGCCCTGATCGAAGAGAACTTGCATCCGGTGGTTGGTAAGTACACGAGGCCGAGGCCGTTATGGACTATGGACCGCTTCCACTAAGCCATCACAGAGGTATCCGATCCCAGGCCAGCGACCTTGACCGATGACTTTCGGGATAGAGATCTTGGCGCAGAGCTCGACTCTCGATCTCTTCCCAGTGAATCCTTACTTGCGCTTGCCCGGCAGCTGACTGGGCGAGAACCACCTAGTGTATCTACCACGCCCAAAGGCAGTTTTGTGTTCCCGACGCAGGCAACGGAGAGTTCCAGCTCCACGCTGGTAGGGTCAGCCACACCGTCAAACGAACTAGACGATCAGACAGAGACAAAGCCTGCTGTATCTGACGCTGGTGATTCCTTGTGCTCAGTCCCTGCTGGAGAAGTTGCTAAGGTCAACGCGATCCAGGAGCATGGACTGTATATCTTTTTTTCGGCCACACGCCAGACTTTGCAGCTCTTGGAAGCTACGATAGCCTTGTTGATCTTGGGTCTGAACAGACTACATGCGGTTCTTGCTCAGGGAAAGAAGTGAACTCCAAAGTTGCGACGCCCAGAAGGACAGAGTTATTTCTTTCAACACTCGTATGAAATCTATACTAGTTCGTCGTACATCTGCCCAGCCCGTAAAAAAAGACTGTCAGCTTTGAAGGCTTTCCTCGACACGGTATTCAAGCTGGTAGCACCTGCACGACCAGACGCCTATGGCAAGATGGTGTGAAAATTGCAGGCCTGATAAGCTCGAAGGCCTCATTGAGTGTCGGCAATAAGGAGCAACACAACGCTAATATATTCTCATAGAAAACATGGTCCCATGGCCTTGTTAAAAGACGTCTCTATAATACCTTTCATAGGTGTGGGTCTGCCGTTTTACACGCAAATATATACCAAGTTAACTAAAATATATCGGGTACTGAAGTAAATTTTTCGGATAGCTAGTTAGTTTAAAGCATAATATATAAAAATTTAATATATTTGGGTATAATTCTTAATACCTTAGGTAGTAGAATGTCTGATATATCCGATTCCCAGATAGTGCGGGGTTCTGACTTCTAAGTATAGTACAGGGCGACCTTATCGGAGCTAAATATGCTTCACGTGGCACGGCCAGCACGACCCTTCCGATCGTATTCCAAGATTGCTGGGACCCAAGCGGGTTGATAGTCAGGGACAAGCTTCATCTGGGGTGTCCGCGTCTATTAATAGTATTCGTGTCGATCATCGTTCGTTCGAATGAACTACCGTATTCCTTACGTAGTCGAAACATCATCGAGAATAGCACACCTTGATTGACTCCAACTAAGCTAACAAACGCCAATCACGCAGGGTATCGGATATGTAGGGGAGATTGCATCTCGAGACAAAATCGCATCGCTGGCTCAATCATTCCTTCGTTCTCGCTCACGGTCCGTGTCCAGACTAGACAAACCAAAAATAACACACAAATCACAACCCATCAAACAGACAAACTTCCGCAGTCCATGCGAAGAGACAGAAAGAGAGAGGTATCAAACAGTTCCCGACCGTTTCTATCGCCAAAACTCATGCAAAATCAAATCCATGCAGTATCAAAATCAATCCAATCACATGCTGATCCGTAACTCAATCGTAGATGTTTTATAAATAGCTGAGAAGGAAGACAGAGAAAAAGAAACAAGCTCAGGTGGAGATGCTGCCGGGCCAGCACGGCTCCGGAGTGCCATACCCCCCAACCACGGAGTGGGCGGCGTCATCGTAGAGCGGCAGGTTCAGTCCCAGGGAATCGTCGACCCGAGAGAGGCTGCAGCCCATCTCGTCGACGAGCGGGGGTGGAAATGCGGGAGAATGCTGGAGCGAGCCTGCGTGGCTGTAATCCGACAGGTCCTCACGCGGATCCGAGAGTAGGCGCGGCGAAGGGGGGTAGAGATTCTGGCCCGGCGCCGTCACGTAGGTCCCGGTCATGTCGAACGGGGAGCTCGCGATGGTCACGGCGGGGGGCGATTGGAGAGGCGGCGTGTAGGGGGCGTAAGTGGCGGAGGTGGAGGACGGAGACGAGGAGGAGGCTATGCGGTAATCCTGGATGTTGTGGTAGGGGCTCGGGGGAGGAGGAGTGAAGTGGTCGATGGAGGTTCGCGGGGACCACTGCAGGCGGCTTTTGTATTTGGCAACAATATGACTGGGGAGGTCCATCAAGGCGGACGCGAGCTGCAACTCGGGGTTGAACGGGTCGGTGGCGCTTCTCGTTACAATCACGCGGTAGATCTCCTCGATCGGGCCGACGGAGAGCGGCCCCAGATAGGCTCCGCCCAGGTCGGGGAACAGACTGTCGAGAGCGACTCCCACGCCAAAGAACTGCGCGAGAATGGCGAGGGCGCCCATATCCGAGTCCCCGCCGCGGAGCATGGCCGGCGGGAGCCAAAACAGCCAGCGTCGCAGAGGCTGCATGCGCTCAAAGGCCTGCTCGGGGGCCTGGGACAGGAGATCGTTCCGGAATTGGCGCACAAATTCGACGAGCTCGCTCAGCCGACGGTAGTGCTCGAGGTTGTGGGCGACCTGTTTCTGGGCGTTCTGGAGGGCGACGATGGTTTGGTCGAGACTGGCGAGATCCTCATCTTGGAACCGGTACCCCGACATGATCGGCGCGTTGGTGCATCCCAGATACCGCTGGTTTTCGAGGAAGATGGCGAGTTCGGACTCCTGTTTCCACATGGGATGCATGGAGTTCAGGACGGTAGTGAGGCCCTGCTGCAGAGAGGCCCAGCTTTGCCTGGGAGGAGTCAGTATGGACATCACGTCAACCAGCCCACTCCAGCACCTACCACTCAGAGGCATGCCACGATAGGAGGATCGAGGCGGCAAGAATAGCGTCGCAGTTTTCCCGCGAAAAGGCACTCAGCGCCTTTTGCAACCCTTGGATGGCGATCCCGCGATGGTGGTAGGCGAGCTGCTTGGTTTCCTTATTTCGGGTAATCCAAGCGAGATGCGAGGCGGAAAGGGCCAGGATCGAGCTCATGACAAAGTCATACGAGACGGCAATGGAAAGGAAACTAGATCTGTCAGTAATCAACCCGACAGCCAGTCAACCCAGTCTGATCAACGTACATTGGCATCTTCTGTGCCCAGATGGTGCAGTTACTGAGGCCGCGCCGATGCAGATCGATCGAGAGGCCGATGATGTGGTGGACGAGGCGAAGATCGGTGCGTGACAGCTTGCTCCAGGAGCTGCGAGCGAAATGAACGAGCTCGGGGAAGGGAGCGACGCCGGTGATGTGCCAGTTCTTGATTTCCAGCTCGATCTCGGCGGACATGAGAAGGTCAGGGGACTTCCGCGCGGCGGAAGATTCATCATGGATGGCGGCCACGTCCATGTAATCGCACCGGCAGTTGTGCTTGGTGCAGTTACGGCTGAATGTGTCAGTTGGGGGTATATCGCGTGGAGGAGGCGGAAGATGCATACCACTGAGGAAAGGTCTCATCACACCGGATATGTCGTCGCTTGCAGGTCTTGCAGCCGAAGCGAGACTTGGTGTGGCTCTTGCGAGGGGGACCACCGCCAGGACCAGCCATTGTGTTGAATGATGAGGTTGAAGGAGAGAGATGAAGTAAGGAATGTGATAAAGGAAGGACAAGTCAACAACGGACTATTGACAAGAACAGGAGGGATCCCAGGCCCACTCCGAGGGAAGGTCAAGTATGAGGTATGAGGTATGAGGTTGAATGAAACGACGGAGGAGGGGGGAAGTGAAGATGGAGAAGGTTATATAGATGGAGAGAAGTCAAGATGAATCGACGGTCGATCAGTAGCGCCGAATGCAGGCTCCAAAAATAGGTAACCTCGAGCCGCAGCCCCCAAAGTCCCAGCAGGAAGTGAAGAATGTGGATGCACGTGGGGAATACGAGAAAACGGCAAGGAAGTGAACCGTCGGGGGATCTGATTTGCACGATGGACAGGAACAGAGATGGGAGGAATGGATCGGCCCCAGAGAAGGGTAGATTCAGCTGGGGAGGGTGGTGGGTGAAGAGTGTGAGGGAGAGAGAGAAGAAGAAGAGAGGAGAGAGAGAGAGAGGATGAAAGAGGATCATATACCCAACAAGCGATGGGATGTCAAGACTGGCCCGTCATCCACGCCCGAGGAAGAATAAAAGATTAATTAAATAAAATGGAATAAAATAAAATACTGTAAAATAGAATAGATAGAATAATCCAAAAAAAAGGACTAAGACCAAAAAAGAAAGCAATCCAAGGGAAATAATTAGTCACTTCTCCGTTGTTGAGGGACGAGACGATGGGTCAGATGCTGATCAGACAAGAGTCAACAACCGTCGGGACATTCCATCCTGCCGAGATTCAGCGAAGGGAAGAGACTAGAGTATATTTAGTACAGACGGAGCGGAGGGCTGGACGGAGCATCTGGATGTTGAGCCTCCTGTTGACCGGACTGATGGGTAATAACACCACTATTATTATTTATTATTTATTATTTATTATTTATTATTTACCGTATGATTTTTCTAGATTATTATTATTATTGAAATGCTGCAACTCTTAGGGCGTAAAGCAGAAAAGGCCGTCTGATATTGAAGACGGACCAGAATGACCCCCCTAAAAAAAAGATGCACCACCACTGGGGGTCATCCTAGGCCCCATCCCAATCCGGTTTAGTGTGGACCCGACCAGGCGAGGCTGACTGATACTAACCCCAATGTAGTTTAGCGGTGCGTTCCCTCAGGCTTAGTCACCCACATGGAGGGGGGAAGGAGTTTCCACTCTTGGCAACCGCTCTTCATTTCCTCTCTCCCTCTCCCTCCCCTCTTTCTCTCTCTCTCTACCCGCCCATGGATCGGAGGAAGTCAACCGGACCCTCTGGCGGATCCAAAAATATCCTTAGGGTCACCCTCGGATGTGTTTCGAAAGAAGGGTGACCCATCCGTTCCCAGGCAAAGTGGGTGGGCACGGGACAACTGCGAGGTAGTTTCATCCGCTGCGGCAGTAAGGATCATGTATCAACTCGGCGGGGAGGGTCTAAGCCTCTCTCTACAGGGTCTCTGACCAGTTCTTATTCCCCGAGCTGGTGTGAACCATGGAATAGCTTCAGATTGGCTCGTGGCTGAGATGCGCCCTCACCTCCAGCCATCGGAAATCCAAAATTAATTGCAAGAAGGGAAAAGGGAAGGAAAATCCAGTCAAAAATCATCCGTCTCACAGACCACAGCTCATCTCTGTAAGCGAAGTGCCACACAACCTAATCCCGCTCCCCGTGGCGGTCGTCTGAGCAAGGGGTGGAAAGTACGCCTAGGCTGACGGTTGGTGGTCTCCCTCTCTAGCTACGTACCTATGTACTAGTTATCTGTCTGGAGCTGTTGGGAAGGTCGATCCAAGGGTCCGAGGAGATCACTGACGGATGGAGTCGGCCGAAGAACTTTCTTTCCAGGAAATACTTTACAGATAGAGGGTGGGGATGGGTCAACGGTGCTAGCTGGTTCTGTCTGTATGATTATTGATGTTTCCACGACCAGGTCGACAGGCTGTCATCGATGGGCGCAGAAGGGAGCCAATAGTGTCCGTTGAAGAAGAGGGGATCCTCACACTGCAATTTACAGTACATACTACGGAGTACTAACTACCAGGGTCAGAGTAAGATAACTACTAGGTATGCTCTAGCTGGAGCTTGACTCATCGTGAATGAGTCCAGGGGCCTTACCTCTTCTTTTTTTTATTTAAGATCTTTTTGCTTTTTCGCTGGCCAGACACCCGGAGATTGCCATCCCAGATCTCCATCTACGGAGCAAACCCAAACCCTCTGGCGAACCCTAACCCAAAACAACCACCATCAACGCCAATCGTCCCATCCTCGTTGGACACTCGGTGAGAATCCGCCCAGCCAAGCTACGATTCTGGTCTGTACCGATGCCTCGTGGCCTGACGAACGCCAGCCGGTGTGACGGCGGGAGCCAATCACCACGGCCAAAGGGATCAATTCCTGTCCCAGCGCCGCGGACTGAGCGCGCCCCCCTTCATGGTGCCTGAAGGGGGGGCACCCATCAGCACCAGCACCTGACTACCCACCGGAGGAATGTCAAGGGCCGCTTCATGGTCCCAGATCAACCTTATTGCCCACCAGGATCAACCCTGTTGGTGGGCTGCGCTGGCCGGGAGAGAAACTTCCACCGTGGAGGATGAACAGAGTGAGCTTCTCCCCCCCTGTCGGAAAGTTTTTCTTTTTCCACGGCCGGTGGATACGCCTGCAAAGACTACGGCTAGCTCTGCAGAGGTCAGTCCGCGTGCGCCGTTTTTATCCGACACTAGGAGCGTCGGGGGGCGGCTTCTCCTGCAGGAGTTTCGAGGAGATTACTGTATATGTACTGTTATAATTGGCATGATTGCGATTACATCTGGATGGACCGCAGCACCCTCAATCGGGGCATGCCAACCGAAATCGCAAACACAACTGCAGACCACCCTTGCGGTTTCCCCCGCATCAACCATGCTATGAGGATGATCGGAATACCCTCGGTGTAGGAGTAGTTACTTAGTCACTCCGAGCAGACTAACAATTTCGGGCGCCCCAGACGACAAGCGTCCCAAGAGGGGAGCCGACAGCGGAGATGCGGGCCTCGTTGGTTCGTGGTTACACGCCAGATCTGGTATGGACAGACGAGACGACAAACAAAGCCCTCCCCGAAGAGGGGCGCCGGGCCAAGCGCAGCAGGCCAGCTCGTCGGGCGAGCGGCGGCGCCGCTTGGCAGGCTTAGTTCGTGGCTAGGGCGTGCTGCCAGGTGTCTAAACTTTTAGATCGGTTCTCTTGGAGGGAGGGATCTTCATCGTCTTGTGGTACTCTGTAGATGGCTCAATCTGACACCGTCGGAGCAGTCCAGACCGACTTTACCTCCTTCCTATGTATTAGGCCCTCCCATGGCATTACTACAGACGTCTCCCACAGTCTGTCCCTCTTCCCCATGCCCGGGCAAAGACACCCGACCGGGGCCTTGCCCAGACCCTTCCCTTTCGCAGTAATCCTTGCGGCTGAGCCGCGGGTAGTGGGGCAATTCAAGCCCTACAAGCGTGAAGATGACTGTGGTCCGTTGTGATGGGATCTGGTCGGGTCGTTAGTGGCCCATAGCGTAGTCAAGAATTCTGGCGTCCTCCGTACGGAAGAGGTAAGGAGTAGTCTAGCGTGCGGAAGGGAAAGGAGAAATAATAATAAAACAAAACAAGAAGAACTGTACGCAGTATGTAGTACAGGCTACCTCACTAAAACAAATAAACCCCCAGAGACAGATGATATGACACTAATCCACGACGTTGTACAGTTTCAGCCTCGACCGCCGCCAACCAGTCATCCCGAGGCTGACACATTCCCAGCGAGCCGGATGAAACAGAGCTCGCGCTTGCTGTCGGTTGCGATCCATGTCAGATTCGCCAATGCCGAGCCCAATCTTGTTCCTCAGGACAACCACCCACCAATCCCAGCGAACCGGGCGCTCTCCCCATCTGAAGCATCTGACAAGGTAAAAAGCTCTAAAGGGTCTCCGGGGCTGCGGGCCGGGTCACGGGATGGCTGCAACTCAGTCAATCCGCTCTCTATCCAGTATAGCTCTCCTTCAAGCATGGTTCAGCTTGGAGCCTTGAAAGGACAACAGCCTACGGTCTGACCGGCTACAGAAGTCTCTTGATCGCGGCCGACTGACCTGGGCCTGAAGTCGCCCTGCATCGGCGCATGCGCTGGTCGCACAACAGCCTCATGCCACGTTTTGTGGTGAGATTTGCACGGTGCGAAGGGGATCCTGGGTGAAGGGCGGATCCCATGTGATTGGGGGGCGCTGGACCCTGCCCGATATCGTCGGCTTGGCACGACGACAGTCATCTCCGTACAGAGTAAACCATCGACTGCGGTGAAAGGGGATTTCTCCACAGACGACGGAGCATGGAGTACTCCGTAGCTCGTCCCTCATAGAACGGAATGAAGGGTCTCCTAATCGCTCCGCCAGAACCATGGAAGGCAACCGTCTGGTGCGAAGCAGTAGTTTGACGGCGAGGGTCAGCCTAGACTAGCCCTCGGTGGATCCAATCCTTGGATGCCCCCACTAACCTAATCGAGTATCGGGCGGGCACTACCGACCCGCACAGACATCATCCGCCAATCATCTCCCGCAGGCCATTCTCCGCATTTGATAGCGGCTGCCCACTTGGGATCTCTGCACGATTGCCTCCCCGCGGCCAATCAGCCGGCCTCGCTAAGGGTCCTTCTCGCGAGATGCCACCGGATCCGGTTAGCGCGGGCGGTGGTTAACTTGGTCGATGAATTTTGGCTCTGTCAACTTTGTTTGGGTCGGGGGCAACTTTATTTCTCGTCGCGCCCGCCATTGGCTGCCGGAAGTATTCGTGCGATGCAGGTTTGCATGCTCAACTTTTGCTCAACATCAATCCCTTTCCCCTTTTCTCTTCTCCTGAAGTCTCAAGGTCGCACAGTCATGCCGCTCCCATGTGGGCTGACTGGCCTGCCATCTATACCCAGGGATCCATGCAGTCGGAGCATTTGGCCAGATTGCGGCAACAATATAATAACTCCCTCAATTATACATACATACCTATACCAGCTCGATAGATAGGACCCATGCTAGATCACTCATGTCACACAACGCCGCTCCCATTCCTTCCTCCCACCCCAGGGTCCAACCCCTAAACCCAATAACACCGCTTCTTCACCCCCATCCCAGCCAAAGGGGTCGACGCAACAGACTCCTAATGGCGGTGTGATACGCCCAATCTGACAGCTACCATGCGGATGCCCCCATGCATGCCCACCCTCCCACCTGCAAGGCATCGGTATGGACGTTGGCGTTGGCGTTGGCTCTCTCCCCGCGCCCGAGGCGGAAATCTGATGATGTCTGCCTGCCTAGACCCTTAGGCACCGCCCTTGTTACTGTATGTCTGGGCCACACCCTGCAGGTGATGATGGGTCAGGCCACATGGATGGATGCTGTCACAGGCTGCATCGCGGTCTCCTCTGTTCGAGAACGTAGGTTCGCCCCGACAGCATCCAGGGGAAATCATGGACTGTCGATCATGGACGCGCTGGAGGACCCTGGGCCTTGCCATCGCGTTATAGTTGGACGAAGTAGATAATACTGCAGATAACGGCCCATACCAGTCACCGGGCTAGCAAGTAAACCGCCAAGCCACCACGCTGGATCTCGCCCTGTTCACGATAACTCGCCAGGATGATTTCGCCTGGAACACTCCCGCCCGCCAATCGGCACTCCTCTCCGTCTCCTCCATCCCCTCCGGATTAGCCGAGCAGTCGGGATGGAGATGGAGGTGGAGGTGGAGGTACATATCTACTCCGTAGGGGAGTCGTCTCCAACAGAGCTCAGGGCTCGCCAAGCCCCGTGACCCTGCAGGGTGTATGGAGTATGGAGTACATGGACATCCATCCATCCATCCCTGTAGTACGCCCTTCTGCAGACATGACGGAACCCTGGGGTCCTCACCCTGTTTCGGTTCTGCCCGCCGCAAACACCCCTCCCCCATTCCCCTCCCTGTCTGTCCACCCCCTAAATCCCGTCCACTGGAGGATGATTAGAGGCTCGGTACAATGACCAGCCGTCGGGACTAAGCTGTTAGAGTGCCAGACCCCAGTCAAGGGTATATATGGATCAGCCGTGGATCTTTCCCAGTTTGGTCTCAAACTGCGACCTGCAGACGCTAGCCAGGCTAAGTCGACATTGTTGTTATTTCAAGAGTATCCAAGTTCGGCCGGTCTTGGCTGTCTGGATCGGGTGATATGTTGAGAGCCCACCACAAAGTTTTGGGATGCTGCGAGACGGAGATTTCAGGGGCGCACGGCGTTGCGGCTGAATGCGAGATTTGCGAGAAATGCGAGATATGCGAGCTGCTGCTATACTTAGCACCACGGAGACGTTGATCCTCCGACGGCATGGCCCTTGCAGGACAAACTCCAGAGTAGATGCCAGTCTTTCAGCTCAGACTGCTTCATTCTTGCTATCTGAACATGAAACAAACAAGAAAAGAATCGCTGGAATGGATATCTATCTAAATCGCACTATTCCTAAGTCTATCGACCAGACGGGACCCCAGCAGTCCCCTTCCTCCATCGTCCATCGTATATAAGCAAATCCCGTAGGTGCACTACCTTATCACCCAGTACAGATCGTCGGAGATTTTGCTGTCGCATACTTTTAAGCTCACCGGTCATTAGGTGGCCACACATGGTTCTCATATCACATCGCTCACACCAAAGTCATTCATCGCCTGCGAAGCTCGAAAATCATCACTGTCCCTTCCTCCAGGCATAGTATGTTCAGCACAGACCAACATCTGCAGAGGCATGTCCCTTGGAAGAAGTCGACAGCAGAAAACAAAAGAAAACAATGCAATGCGTTTTGATACGCCTTTCGCCTGGATACCCTCAATCAATGACTAACAAATGCCGGATATAGTTCTAAATCTGGTATACAGAACGAAGTTTCTGAGGAACGTGGGGCGGAAGTTGCGAGAGGAAGGTATCGAAGTTGGGTATCATATTTTTATAGCCTTGCAGAACCTACCCATTCAGTCAGCTGGGGTCCTGCTCCATACGACCGGGCAATACTTACTTGCTGGAAAGAGCTCTGAATGTCACGGTAGTCCTCCTGGTGGAGGGACTTGCCAGGGAATGAGGCAATGGCCCGGAAATATTCCGCCAGGCTGGATTCCATCGCCTGCGGGTTCTTCATCACCACCTGGTTGAAGCCGAGGAACGCGGACGCCTTCTCCCGCGTGAAATCGATCCGGCTCATCGACTTGAGGAAGATGCCGGCGTAGTCGCCCAGACGCGGGGCGAGCTGATCCGAACAGCAGATACCGAGCCGTCCCAACGCCATCGCCGCGTTCTCGTTCACCGAATCGATGATCTCTTCGTTGTTGATGATAATGCACAACCGCTCGTACAGCTTCTCCAGATACGGCGACAGCTGGGCCTTTTCGTTGACGGCAATTTCGCCGCAGGACCAGCACGCGTTGTTCAGAACGCTGAACCCGGTGTGGCGATCCTCGTCGCGGATGAGGTCGAGATCGAGCTGCTTGACGAGGGTCGGCATAATCTGGGGGATGAAGGCCTCCAGCTGGGGGAAGATGTTGATCGCACAGTCTCCGAGCAGGGCGTACGACGACTGGCGCACCTCATAGTTCGGGTCCTCCATACAGAAACAAAGAAGGTCGAAGAAGCGGGGCTGGGAGTTGGCCACCAGCTCGCCGCTCTTCTGCGGGTCGATCGCCTGGATGATGGCACTCAAAAGGTCCAGACTAGTGACCAGGAAGTCCTTGTCCGGCTCATCAATGGCCTGGTTGTTCACCGATGCCATGTACTCCTGCAGGTTTTCGTAGATGATCTTGATGCAGCGCTGGAAGAGCGGTTGGGCAAAAGGCGCAAAAGCATCCCCGTATGCCGCAGCGATGTATCCCAGACACTCCAACAAGGGGAACAGCTCGCGGGACTGATCCGCCACCTTGTTGTAGCGATCGATCAGAGCCGGCATCAGAATATCCACCAGGTGGGGCTGGGCCAGCTCCTGCATGACACACTCGGCCAAGGTCTGAACGCAATCGTACAGGATGTACATGTTCCGATCTTTGTATTTTCCAAAACACTGCACGAACTGTCTCAGGATCGGCTCGCAGTACGGGATCAGGTTGGCGTCCGACTTCTCCTCTAGGCTTGCAAAGGCAGAGGCAGCGGCCTCCTGGACCTTCTTGTTCCCGTCCAACATGCGACGCAGAATACCTTCCATCATAGGCTCGAAAAAGCGTGCCCGTTCGGCAGGATCACTCAAATGCGAAGCCCACTCGGAATAGCGACCGAGGCACCAGCAGGTAATCTGCCGAACCACCGGCTGTGCGTCGTTCAAGAGCGAGATGAGGTAGGGAACCAGTTCGGGGAGGTGAGGGGTCACCGCGTCCATGCATCCGTCCGCCACAGCACCCAGCGTCAGGACCGCGGCCTCCCGTTGCGGCCACTGCTCGTGGCGGAGCGTCTCCTTCAGGTAGGGCAGGATGATCTCGAAGATGGGCTGGTGGTAGACGTTAGAGAAGACATCCAACGCGGCAGCGGAGCATTTGCGCAAGGTCCACTCGTCCTCGGGGTCGTCCCCAAACTCGGAGTCTTCAATCTCGCCTTCACTCAGATCGTCATCGTTCGCTTCCGCGGGCGCATTGCCGTTCGCTTGATCTTCCGGCTTCGACGTGTCCAGACGAGCGCCTTTCGATTTGGCGAACTGTGGCTTGAGGTCCTCGGCGCGATCTTCCAGCTCGGCGTCATCGCCTTCCCCGGCCAAGCGGATGGCGTCATCCTCATCATAGACCATACTCTGCAGCAACACGGGCACGATCTTGGGCATATGAGGTGCCAAGGCCTGTTGCAGCCTCGCCTGTTCCCCAGCTCCCAGCCAAAACTCTGCCGCGTCCAGCGCCAGCTCCGGATCTTCCCGATTTTGTTGCTGCATGATGATATAGTTGACCAGTCCTTCCATGTGGGGGATGAGCTTCTCCGGAGCAAAATCGACCAGCTGGGCAAAGGTCTGGCACACGGTGCGACGCACTTCGGTGTTGGAGTCGTTGGCCATTTGGAAGAGCTGCGACAGGAAGAGGTCCATAGAGGCGACCAAGGCGTGGGGTCGGCGCGGCAGGAAGATGTGGATGGTACTGAGGGCCATGGTGCGCACCTTGGAGCTGGGGTTAGAAGTGAATTCAAGCAGTTTAGGGATGAGGACATCCAGGGGGCACTGGCCCTGGTAGTCCCGCTCCAGGATCTTGCTGTTATCCTCGCAGACCTTGGCGAGGGCGGACATGGCGGCCTCCTGGGCGAGGGCGGGGACGTCGCCGGGGGTATTATCGACGAGGGTGAGGAGCTCGTGAAGGACCTCGGGCCAGGCCAGAAGACCGGCCTGCTGCACCAACTCGGTGATGATGCTTCCGGCGGAGTTGCTCACTTGTTTGTTCGTGTCGCGAAGGACGATTATGGTGGCGGAGCGGATGTAGGATAGACAGGGCGGAGGGATAGTGGTGTAGGCCAAGCGAATTTTCGTTTTGAGGTTCATGGCGGCGGCGACGCGGACGACACCGTACGTCTCCTCATCCATCCCCACGACGGGAGGAACTTGCGGGGTGCAGAAGAGGTAGGTGATGTAATTGACATAATCAGGGGAGGAGGTTGCTTGTACCAGCATCTGATGCGCACGGGTTAGTTGGACTATCGGGATGGTATGGCCTTGGGAATGGACGAGAAGGGTCGTTTGTCGCAAAGAGTGGAAATTTTTGGAACGAGCGATGAGACAGTATAATGGCGTGCCGGGGAGAGAAGGAGGCCAAAAATTGAACCCACCTGTTCAGCCTGTCTCTGAGCCATGCGATCCATCCCATTTAAGGAGTCTCGGAGACAGAAGGCCAACTGCCTCAATTGATCGTCTTGTGGATGCCACTCCATGATTGTGGGTGAGGGAGAGGTGGGAGAGGAAAGGAAAGGAAAGGAGAAAAGGAGAAAAGAGGGGAGGGAGGAGGGAGAAGAAGAGGACAAAAGCAATCAGAGGAGATTGACAGCGGACGATGGAGAAATGTGGAGGAGGAGGAGAAGAGGGAGGAGGCAGAGCGAGAGAGGAGGAGATGGGCGAGGGGGAGAGAAGTCGGAGGTCGAGAGAGAGTTAGTAGGGAACCCCGCCGTTGATTCTTTCGGGTGTGGTTGTGTGTGGGTAACACCCCCATACCCTACAGACCACCACAAAGGGAGTATGCTCTTTAAGAGGCAGTGTGTTAAGAAAATTAAAGAGGGAAATATCGTTGATACTCCGTAACCTCAAGTCTGTCAGACAGCGAGCAGAATCTGCGCTATGGTACTACGTAGGGAGGAGGTAGGAGGTAACAAGATTATCTCCTGGTATTATCGGTCCAGAGGATGGTGAGAAGACTCATATAGTCCATGTCCAAGAAGTCTTAGTGCGATAAAGGTTGGTATAGCGCGAATTATCTATGGGATATAACGACAACTTCTTCCCAACTCTTGAGACCATGAATAAATTCAGGTATTTGTAGTGAGCACAATTGGTGTATGCTGACTCAGCCTCTCGTGCATAACTAACTTAGGTATAACACACTGGCTGACACTATATATTTCTACTGTCACTTTGTATACAGCTCGATCCATCCCTCTTCCCCATGTATCCCTCTCATCACAGACCTCGTCAACAGTCTAGACCGTCAGTCTAGACCATCGAACCACCACATAATAACACCAGTACTATATACTCCGTCACTCCCATCATGGTCTCCCATCCATCAGTCATCATCCCCCGGCGGAACTGTTCTTTCCGGCCTCACGTGTCACCAACAACATGAATATAAGAAATCCGATCAACTCCTCATCATCAGACCATCGATATCTCCAGAATAGACATCATGGATGTCCTGCTGGATGTGCTGGACACCTTTGTGTTCGACCGTCTCTACGCCACGCTCTTCCCTGTCTCTCCGGCTGTGCTTCACTCTCAGACCACTCATGGCGTCTCTCAGAATGGCACGGAACTGGCTTCGGTCAACACCCATATCAGCCGCTACATCTCTCTCGAGCCCTCCGAATGGGCCGCCAAATCCACCTGGTCCCGCGACAACATCTACCGACAATTTCTGAGTCTCTTTCTCATGACATGGTAACTCGATATATGCCTTAACTTGCATCCTCTAGACCACCGCTAAACGTCCCAGGATCTTCGGCCTCGTGCTGTACTTCATCAGCGCAACGCTCTCCTTCTATTTGGTCTACGACAAACGCGCCATGAAGCACCCTAAGTTTCTTCGCAACCAGATCCGCCTCGAAATCCAACAGGCCGTGCACGCCATGCCCATAATGGCTGCCCTAACAGCGCCGTTCTTCGTCGCTGAAGTCCGTGGCTTCTCCCGTCTCTACGACTTTGCGTCGGAAGCCCCGTTCCCGCTGTACGTCTACCTGCAGTACCCGCTCTTCATCGCCTTCACCGATTTTGGCATCTACTGGATCCACCGCGGACTGCACCACCCCGCCATCTACAAGCGTCTGCACAAGCCGCACCACAAATGGATCATCTCGACTCCGTACGCCAGCTACGCCTTCCATCCGCTCGACGGCTGGAGTCAGAGCGTGTCCTATCACATCTTTCCGATGCTGTTCCCCTTGCAGAAGATCGCGTACCTGGGATTGTTTACTTTTGTGACCATCTGGACGGTCATGATTCGTGAGTTTCTTCTCTCCTTCCTGCTAGCGGCGGAAAGCTGACAATCGTGTAGATGACGGAGAATATGCCATGAACTCGCCGGTGGTCAACGGCTCGGCCTGCCATACCATTCACCACTACTACTTCAACTATAACTACGGCCAGTTCACGACTCTTTGGGACCGCATCGGCGGGAGCTACCGCAAGCCTGACGCGGCGCTCTTTGACCGCGAGCAGCGCGTGAAGGAAGAGGAGATCCGCAAGCAAGTCAAGGAGATGGAGCGGCTGGTCAAGGAGGTCGAGGGGACGGATGATCGAACATATAACCAGACGAAGAAGGACCTGTGAGAGACTTGTATTGTAATCTACTCTTATTCTAATAGTGAATGTCGGTTCCATTAATGTGAATTCGTTCCATATTTCCACATACGATCGCGATGGACCACCGCGTCCACCAACACCTGCGTTCCCAGCGTACTGCACCACCGCCCGTCAGCGTTAAACCCATTCAAATGAAACCAAAGAACTTACCAGTCCTCAGGCCGACAGAGCTCCTCGCTCCTCCACATGTTGACTGACGCCATCGCAACACGGCACAAAGATCATGGCCGTTGGGAAAGGCCGCCTGCTATACACGCTATCACAGCTAGCGCCGCTGACCATCGAACTAAGTCACTACCTGATCGGGCAAGAATATTAACATAGGGGGTTTCCAATTTCTTTAGGGACGTCACTCAAGCATGGCGGAGCGACTCTATGGGTGCCTGTATCGTCTTGTAGCCGAAGTAGATGGTAGATTTTGTTCCCCATGTGGCAGCTCAGATAAACCTCTTATTTCATCAAAATCTAGCAATACATCAAGAGTCCGGTTATTTGTGGAAGGTCTCCACGGAGTACGCCAACACATTCCCACCGCGGCATTCGCTGAACCATTTGAAGATATGGTCTGTCTGTCCGAGGGTACAGGGGTAGGAGAAAGTACCAGGAAATCATCTGACATGAAGCCACGCCCAGAACCCCAGCTTTCTTTTTCCTCATTCTCCCTCTTCCCCCTCTTCTTTCACCTTTCTGCCCTACTGTGCGAGACCTTAACCGCCCAATCTGTGCCTCACGTCCCAACTAGACCGTACTGCATCGACCGCCAACAGCATTCAAACATCGCCAGGTCCAAGATGGAAAGGTTGGCTGATGATCTGAGAAAAATTCACGTGGATGATTCCATTGAGGAGGCAAATCAGGTCCTATTTAGACCTCCCACTGGGAGCGGATTTGCGCGGACGGCCTTCCATGAGATTCCTCGTTACCTGTTTCGAGTCGTCACCCCACGTTCCGACGGAATAACAGATGAGACGTGGGCACGTTCAGAATTGGCTTGCCAGGATCCTGAATCTTCTACGGAAGATGTCTTTTTCAACTTGGATGATGCGAAGCGGAAGGTCATTGCTCAAACGCTCAACTTGCATCTCCGATGGTGGCCAAAGTATTCGCTAAGGGACAACTTTGTTTCATGGACCAGCTCCTTGCTCTTCGCAATCCAGTACATCTATTACCGGCACCTGAATCCAAAGGATGGATCGAGTCTGGAGCACATCAAGCTATATGCGATAGATACGACACAGTTCCTAAGAGGGACCTTTCTCCGCGACCTAGACCTAATTGACTTTTTTGAGGAATTCGACGACCACAGCCCAGAAAAGAACCTCGCGGAACTACACTGCCGTCGTAAAAAAGATGAATTCTATTTCGGAGAATACCTTTCGCAAGGGGCACTGAAGATCGAAGGCAAGTGTGCGACAATCTCCACCCACTTGTTGTTCGAAAGCAATCGACTGCGCCGCCTGCAACGTCAATTTTACGAACTACAGTATCTGCCATTCAATAAAGGCAAACCAGTATGGGCGCAAGAAGTCAGCCGTCTTCGTGATACGATCTGGGGACCTAGAAATCTACGGACCTCGTCTTTGACAGGGATCGGGGATCGTTTGGAGGCCGTCAAAGAGATCATACAAGATCTAGACCCCATCTGGAGATACCCTCTTGCTATTTACTTCACTTCACTGATTGGCCCTGTTTCCTTGATCGAAAAACGCGATGCGGCAATCCATAATACGTTCTTCGGGAAGTTACAATCTAGCTTTCCTAAAGGTGGGTTTACTGGGTTTACCAGCGAAGAAATCTGATATGAGCGCGGATACTGAGGTCTTGAAGGACAAAAAGCTTTGGGGCCTTCCGACTTTAAAACCGTTGGAACAGACCAAATGCCAGAGATTCGGCAAGTCGAAACACTTGTTCACGAGATGTACAAGTACGACGCATTGGTAGATGCACTGGGTTAGTAGCGATGCTCAAACATGCCCTCTCTGAATCCCCTCGCTCATTGTTAACTGAGAGATTAGATCAAGTCCAAACCGCCGAAGCCAGTATTCGTCTCCTTTACATGAAGGTTATAACACCCGATGGAGCCGCTTTTGCTTTGCCCGATGAAAATGAGCTACTGGATCGTGCAGGCCGAGCTCTCCTACACAAGCTGCGCTTAGTACAGGATATCTGCGACGATGTTATTCTGGCTATTTCATGATATCCAGTATAGGAAGCAAAATTTTCATACCTTGATTCTCAACTGTTTGTGTCCGGCTGTGCGGATGGCAGCAGGATGTGGTTATTGTGCAGAAGATGATGATTTTGTACCCTGACCCCTCGCCGTCAATTTGGATCTGGTGGGGAAAATCTACACCTCGGCGATATGCAGGAGCTCCCTCACCTATCAATCTATATATTGCCCTTTTTACTGTGGGTCCTTGCTTTTTTAACTGATTTGAAGCCTTGTCGAGGCTCGTGTACACCGAGTTGCCTGCTGCTGTATTCTGTCGCGCGCGACGCCTTCTGGAGGCATCCCGTGGAGTTAGTCCCACCGCATGCTCTTGAGAAGGCTTAATACCTGTTGTTCTTTATTGAATGCTGAAAAATCCGCGTATCGCATCTGCGACCACCGGTGCAGCGGAGCCGTGTCGTGGGAGGGCGCTGAATGTCATCGGAGGGCATCTACACCCGCACCAGTCCGTCACCATATAACCCGCCGCAACCCGGATATCTTGCATACACCCCAACCATCCCTACACTCTGCACATGATGTCTCGGAGACCGATCTACACTAACCACTCAGCCGCCCACGCGCGCTGCGAAACCACCACCACCGACAGCGTGCGCGTTTTCCACCAGTCCCTCCCGGGCTATGCGGCCACGCCGCTCGTCGCCCTGCCCGAGCTCGCCCGCGAGCTGGGCGTGCGCGCTGTCTTCGCCAAAGACGAAAGCAACCGGTTCGGCCTGCCGTCCTTCAAGGCTCTCGGCGCCTCATGGGGTTGCTACCGCGCCGTGGCCGCGCAGCTGGGCTGTGCCGCGGGGCCCGTCGCGCTGGACGAGCTAGCGCGCAAAGCCCAGGAGGCGGGAATCACGCTGTTCGCCGCGACGGAAGGGAACCACGGGCGGGCGGTTGCGTTCATGGCGCGATTGCTGGGTGTGCGGGCGCGGATCTTCGTACCGCTGGGGACGGACGAGGGGACGCGGGTCCGGATCGCGAGCGAAGGCGCGGAGGTGCTCGTTTCGCGGGGGAACTATGACGATGCGGTGAGAGAGGCAGCGGGCGCTGTGCGAGAGTCCCCCGCGGGCGTCCTGATCCAGGACACGGCGTTTGACGGCTACGAAGAGGTGCCCGCGTGGATTGTGGAGGGGTACGGCACGATGCTGGCGGAGGTGGAGGAGCAGCTGGCGCGGGAGGAGCTGCGATGTGATGCGATGGTTACGCCGGTGGGCGTGGGCAGTCTGGCGCATGCGGTGTCGCGGTTCTGCAAGGCTCGCGACACGGCGGTCGTGGCGGTTGAGCCGGACTCGGCGCCGTGTCTGTACGAGAGTCTGCGGGCGGGCCAGCCGGTGACGGTGGTCCCAACGGCGACTATCATGGACGGGATGAACTGCGGGACGGTGTCGTCGACGGCGTGGCCGGATCTGCGCCGGCTGGTGGACGCCTGCGTGACGGTGTCGGGCGCCGAGAGCCATGCGGCGGTGCAGTATCTGGCGACGCGGTCGGTGCTGGCTGGGCCCTGCGGTGGTGCATCGCTAGCGGCGCTGCGTCGGATGGCAAAAGAGTCGCAGGAGCTGCTGCGCGAGGATTCGGTGCTGGTGCTCCTGAGCACGGAGGGCGCGCGGCCGTACGCGGTGCCGCGTGACGTTGCCGTGGACGACGTGGTCGGGTTGACGCAGGCGCTGACACGCATTGACTCGAGCAACTCGTCGCTGTCGGTGTCGAAGGGGGCTGGGGAGAGCGAGATTGCCGAGTACATTGCAGCGTGGTTTGCGCACCGCGACATCGAACATCACCGCGTGGAAACAGTGCCGGGGCGGCCGTCCATCGTGGGTGTCCTGCGGGGCTGCGGCGGAGGCGCGTCTCTGATGTTCAACGGACACACGGATACCGTGAGCCTGTCCAGCTATGAGGGCGATGCGCTCTCCGGGGCGCTGGCGGAGAGAAACGGCCGGCAGGTGGTGCTGGGACGGGGCACGATCGACATGAAAGGTGGGCTGGCGGCCGCTCTGGCCGCGGTGGCGTCTGTCAAAGCGAGCGGACAGACCCTCCGCGGCGATGTTATCGTCACCGCCGTGTCGGATGAAGAAGACGCCTCGCAGGGGACGCGGGATGTGATTGCTGCGGGATGGCGCGCCGACGCAGCGGTGGTGGCGGAGCCCACAATGGGCGAGATCATCACGGCGCACAAGGGCTTTGTCTGGATCGAGGTCGACATCCTGGGAGTTGCAGCGCACGGATCCGACCCGACTCAGGGCCGCGATGCGATCCTGTCTGCTGGCTGGTTCTTGCGGGCTTTGGAGGAGTATCAGGCCCGTCTCCCTGTCGACGAGATGTTGGGGCAAGCCTCGCTCCATTGCGGACTCATCCAAGGAGGCGAAGAGCCATCCTCGTACCCGTCCAAATGCACCGTGACCGTGGAGTTCCGCACGGTGCCCTGTCAGACGGAGATGTCCATTGTGTATGATTTGAAGACATTGCTGGAGGACATTGCTCGCCAGAAGCCCGACTTCCACTACGCAGAGCCGCGTGTCACCATGTCGCGGCCGACGCACAAACTGTCTGCGGAACATCCTCTTGTGCAGACTGCAGCAGCCTCTGCAACGGCGATATCAGGGCATCGTCCGGCGGTTGTCAGTGTGCCATTCTGGTGCGACGCATCGCTGCTGGGTCAGGCTGGCATTCCGTCAATTGTATACGGACCAAAAGGCGAGGGCTTGCACAGTAAGGAAGAGTTTGCAGACGTGGAGAGCTTGCAAGAACAGACTCGGATTTTTGAACAGATGATTGTAGAGATGTGTAGATAGTGGTCGACCGTCGTTGATAGATCGTGTACATATAGGTAGAGCGTGTCATACAACTTTCCGCAACACAGCCCAAGAAGATAGAAATCATCACGTATGAATATGACACCGAATTTAAATATAGATCCTTTTAGATGATTAAAGATAGACAAGTGTCGTGTTGAAGCGATTGAGCTCATCATGTTCTTAGTCATCCATCATCCACTTCATCTCCAACTACTTCCTCTCTTCTCTTCTCTTCTCTCTCCTCCATCTCAACATCCTATCCAACAATGGACCCATCAGATCAGGACCCCTTCTTCCCTTTCACTCCCGACTACCAGCTCAACCCCCCGGGGGATCCTGATCCTACCTGGTCCACGCTGGACTGGGACATCAACCAATGGATGACGATCCAGCCGGCTCCCGCCAGCGGCGACATCAACCACCTCACGGACGTCACTCAATGGCTCGACGGGGCATACGCACCACCAACCCCCTGTACATACTGCCGTCGCCACCGGCTGCAATGCCTTATCATCCGCACCACCCCAGCAAACCCCAACCCCGTGACCTCGTGCTCCAGCTGCGTCGCGCTCTTCCGCCAATGCAGTCTCGCCCACGGCGAGAAGCGCCAGCCGTCCGGGTTCGAGACTCTCGCCCCCGTCCTCGGGAACCTGCACGGGCTGCGCGAGCAGACCGAGGACGTCATCCCTGAGCACGAGTACGAGCACGCCCCCGCGGAGCCGCACCGTCCCTCCACATCGGGACAGCCCCATCCCGCTGGCGACGCTGCCGCCGCCGAAGACTCCAAGACGGAGTCGAAGCAGTTCGTGCGGCGCGGCGCCCGCGTGCTGCGCGCCTGGCTCGCCCAGAACCAGGAGTATCCGTACCCGTCCGAGGAGGACAAGACGCGGCTCGCGCAGGAAACGGGGTTCTCGCGCAAGCGCATCGCGACCTGGTTTGCCAACGCGCGGCGGCGCCAGAAACACAAGGCTGACTCGGCTGCGGCCGCGGCCGCGCCGCTGACTATCCACCGCGCAGGCTCGCCGATGCCCGCGGCGCGCGCGGACGCCTCGACTGCGTGGACGGCGATGACGCCGCTGGAGCGCTGGCAGGCGTCGCCGCCGGAGGACGATCCGGTCGCGGAGTCAGTGATCCAGGATGCGATTGCGTCGAGTGCGGGCGGCGGGTCGGAGGTGTTCGACGCGGAGGCCCTGGATGACGGCGCGCTGGATGCGTTCCTCGCGCTCGAGGAGACGTCGTCGTCGTGCGTGGGCTCGTCTGTCGGAGGGGGCCGGGGCGGTGCGTCGTCCGATAGCGCGTCGTCGTCTGCGTCTGCGTGGAGCCATTACTCCCTCAGCGACAGCGGAGGCAGTCTCGGGATCCCGCTGGGAGGGTGGCCGCCATCGCGACAGCGTCGTCGGCGCCCGCACCGCCGCCGGACGTCCGCATCGGCGGCAGCCAGCCAGTACCACTGCACGTTCTGCCCGCAGGCCTTCAAGAAGAAGAACGACTGGTACCGCCACGAAACCACCGTGCATCTCCCTCTGGACACCTGGATCTGCACCCCGTCGCTTGCGGAGCTGCTGCCCCCTGCAACTCCGGGGTCGGAAACCGCCGAGTGTCGCTTCTGTACGACCGCCCCGGCCACAGCTGCGCACTGGGATGAGCACGACTTCCGCGTCTGTGCCGAGAAGCACCCCGCCGAACGGTCGTTCACCCGCAAGGACCACCTGTGGCAGCATCTGCGGAAGTTTCACGGGTGTACGAAGACGCCAGCGGCGAGTCTGGATGTCTGGCGGCGCGATGAGACGAAGGGTCCGCTGCGCAGTCGGTGTGGGTTTTGTGGCGCTGAACTGGCGACTTGGGCGGAGCGCGGGGAGCATCTGGCGGAACACTTTCGCCAGGGAGTCTGCATGGATCAGTGGGTTGGGGGTCTAGGGTTGGAGCTGGAGGTGTTGCGTATGGTCAGGAATGCAGATTGACCTGTTTCGGGCTTATGTTGGACAGGGACATGATTTGTGACTTATGATGACCAGGAATACTGTATATAAAATTCATTGCCATCGATGTTGAAGCATCAAATATCTAGTGTATACAAGAGGCCATGTATATGCAAGTATGCCACGGCATAGCTGGTATCAGGCAATCATCTAGGGAAGCAACGGGCTCGCTACGCCCACACCATCTTCTTAATATCGTATACCAAATGCTCCAAATACCCTGTACGTTTCTTCGCATCCTCCAGTGAAATGATGTCCGAATGTCGCACGACAGACGAGACACCCTCAGATGCACTCTCGTCTGAGCCAGACACTCTCGTCTCCCCCGCCGTCATGGCGCGTTCAATCTCCTCACAGATCGTCCGCACCCAGTCAGTCTCACTAACAGTCGGTGCCCCCGCATTCTTCGTCTGAGTGACCGAGCTGGACAGCGGAAGGGCCTTGAACGCCATGAAGCGCGGGGTGGACCGCGAGGGGCCGCGGAACCAAGAGTACAGACCCCACTCATCGGAGGCACGCGCGTTGCTATTTAGGGTTTCCGCATCAACGCTACTCTGCAGGGAGCGGGTGTTCACGCGAAGAGCGTTGTTTGCGTCCCCTTCGCGATACTCGATGACCAGGCCCACGTTGCTGCGCTCGTCAGTCTGCGCGTCGGTCAAAATCGAAGTGATGTATGTGCCGTAGTTGATGTGGGAGACAGAGCGTAGGGAGATGCGCTCAAATGACAGCACCTTATCGGTGTTCCAATCGAAGCGGCAGCTGTATATGGCTGCATCCGTGAGGAGGAGCACGGCCTCCTCGAACGGGAGGGTGCGCAGCGTGTTGGGCTGACGGGGCGTCAGCATCGTCCACCCTCCAAGAAACTCCTCGGACTGGTCGCTGATTGCGATACGACAGCTGGTGTCGATGGCGTTTTGACGCAGCTTCTGCACTGAGATACCCGGGTCGGCAGTTTTCATCTCCAGCGCGAACTCCTGGAACACCTGCGTGGAGACATTCCCTAGCAAGTAGTCGATGCATGCCTGCGAGAAGTAGTCGTTGACGATGTTGTTGTAATATCGGGACAATGTGAGTCCAAAATCGTTCAATGCTCCCCGGTAGTCACGCTTCCGCGTCCGCGTGTAGTCGCCTTTCAGGGCTGCCGTAGAGGAATATTGCTTGGAGATCGCGTCTCCATTGTCCGCCCACAGGGTATTAAACCACTGAGTTGATGAGTCGCCACTGAGGCTGATATTGAAGCCCTCTTGTTTCAGCTCTCTCTCCAAAGCCCATTGGCCAAATGCACACTGTGCAACACCGGTCCGGTCGAGACAGTCCATGCAGTTGGTGCGGATGATACCGGACTGATTTTGAAGAACGGTGCCATCTTGAACGATCGTGTCACCATATTCTTTCAAAATGGACCCAAGGCGGTCTACAAGCCGGCTCACGTTCTCAAATTTCATCCCACGACATTCGTTGTGGAAGTCAAACCATTCCAGTCCAAGAGGCGCACCATCAATCACGTTCGACTGATTCATGGCCTGAGCGTATTTCTCGTACTGCTCCCCCAGTTTCAGCTCACCACCCTGCCTGTCAATGAGCGAAACAGCCTGGACCTTCCCATATCTACGGCTCAGATCCCTAAAGTGCCGCTCAAAAGCGAGCTGATTCGTCTCCGTCGAGTGGTGTATCACAGGAACTGGTTTGAATGCGTATGGCGATTGGGAGAAATATAGCGGAATGGACCCGCGCACTTGGAGATAGGAGTAGACCTTCCGGGAGGGATCCCAGTCGGGAACAGAGAGTATTTGCTCCGTCTCTACACTGTTGGCTGTGTTGCCATAATCATCAACACCTCGACGAAGATACCGAAGGCCGGGACGTTTGACTGATCGTCGCGATATTAGAGTGAGAAGAAAATGTTGCTGACGGCTATCCGTGGGAATGTCTTGACCCTCCTGTTTGCCACCCAAAATGCGCCCTTCAGACAAATTGGTTTCCTCTGGGTGAGTCTCGGTGGGCGGGCGCTCTGTGGTAGCGACAGTAAATTCCCGCTGTCCAACAAAGCCCTGCATTAGAGGCAGGACAAAGTGATGGGCGTCGGACAGAATTAAAGGCGTCATGAGATGCTTATTCCAGAAATACTGCCAATGGACAAGTCAGCAACTATGGGGGATCCTGCGGTAAGACAGAAACGAACCAGTTCATCCACGGCCTTATGCAGCGGCAGAGGGTCCTTGAGGAAAGATTCCTGAGTAGACATATGTCGCGTGAGGTCATAATCATATGCAAAGAAAAAGTTATGAGAAGCAAATAATAGTCGAGTATACTTCAGGAGCTTCGGCAAAAATTGTACCATTGGACTCGAGGGCGACCATTCTCCTGGTGGCTCCGACAGCGCAGCAGTATCACTTGGTACAGGAGCCGAAGCTTTGTCGTTTGTATTCGGAGTACTCAAATTGCTCCCTGTATCCTCTAGGGGGTCGTCCTCAGCAACCGCTTTGGGCATATCCTGGTTCACAGTCCCAAGCCCCGGCAGCCCAAGGGTCTTTCGCGACAACCAGTTTGCAGCAAAACGCCCAAACCGAACCTTTTTCCCAATGACATCTTCAGCAATGCTATTGAAGCTGCGTCCTCGAGAATGGAACGTCTCCCGGACTGGTGAGGGCGGAGCGCTGTTGACCTCGGTGTCTCCGCCCTCGGTCTCTGCGTCCGATATGCCCTCTTCCGAAGTTGTCTCGTCATGGCTTATGTCTCCCTGAGCCAGATGTTCTTTCGCCTGAGCAATCGCACGAATCGCGTCGGCTCGTGACGACGTAGGAATGACTGCAACGTCGGTAATGGTGTAGATCGGCTTGCCTTGGATTTGCGCCACTTGTTGACGTTGGGTGATTGGGATCAGAAAGGAATGCGACGCAACAGACAGGAGCCCTTTTGTTAAGCCGGAATCAGTGAGCCGGACGGAAACGAGCAAACAAGATGTCACTGACTCCTGGGGAGAATTAATATGCTGCTGGGTTACGCCTTACCAACAAGCCCATAAGTTTCCAATCCAGAATCTCGTTCGCACGTTTCCACCGGAGAAGTCGGTAATACAGAGATCTTGCCGGTCATATAGTCAATCCGGACACACGGAGACTCGTTATGTCCATTACTTCGCACACCATTTCCCGGGGCCTGGAGAATCAGCCCCTCGGCCGCGGTGAAAACGATTAACCTCCGCAACAAACCCGGCATGGTGTCGACATTGGTACTGCCCGGGGTAGACGGGAGAAAGAGAGGGCAAAAGAAAATTGCAAAACCAGTGCAGTGGGAAAAGACACGATCTATCGTGGTACCAGGGTCTCTTGCAAGAAGTTGGAAGAAAGATGGTCGCAATGATGCGGGCGAGCAGCTGATCGGCGCCGCCTTCCCCGCTGACTTCATCACCCGCTGCTTTTCGGCTGCCCTGTCGAGCTCCCAATATATATATCGAAGACCCGTATGCGACAACCAAATAATACATAGAAGATCTATCTCAAAATTGGATCCTGATGCGTATATACAATCCTGGTATTGGTTGCAGGCCTTTGCGCCGGCATCTAAACCCGAAAACCCATGCAATCCGTTCCAATCAACGTCCACATCCAAATCATTCATGACCGTCGCTTGTTCTTCATCCGGAGAACTTGTGCGTAAGAAGTAGTAGTACAATGCATCAGGCGGCTGGGGAGAAAGGTAGGTAGCAATGTCGAGTGTATAAAAGCAGAGGAGCGTAAAGGTGGATAACAATGTTTAAACGTAACAGCAGTGACCTCATCATAATAGTGGAACCCAGAACAGAAAAGAAAAGAAGTGAAAAGTCGATGATGGCCGCATCATACTATCGCTCGTCGTGCTTGGTAGGTTGGTGAGATGCGCGCTCAACATCATCGCTTTTCTTATACGTGGGGCCTGGTTCACCATCGCTCTCTTCGGTCAACTCAGACAAGCCAAAGGCTTGAGTCTCCACATCGTAAGCACGCATTAAGCCTTCTCGGTCTCCGTGTCCGTTCAAGTATGCAATGCTGGAGGAACTCCGGCGGTGGGGCTCGTTGCTTCGGCGAGACTGCATGGACCGACGCGTTTGGAAGCTAGCGATGCCATCGGTGGGAACGCCTTCGTCGTCCAGCTTGGAATTAAGCATCTGTCGTCCGTCGGGGTCATGGCGGGAGAGGTTCAGTAGATATACACCGGAGAAGATGACAAGGAATCCGCAAAGTAGGGAGATCGTGTTGACAGCGTCGGTGGTGTTGAAGCCCTTGAAGAGAATGAAGGAGGCGCATAGAGTGGCGGTGGTGAAGGTGACGTAGTAGAGCGGGTTGACACTGGGCGAGGATTGTTAGTCTTATGCCGCGTGCAGCACCATCGGCTACTTACATAGAGGTAGAGAACTGGTTTAGAGCCTTGTTGAAATAGTTCATCTGCGTGAGGATGCAGAAACCCGTGACGACCATGAACACATACGTCGAGGCGTGGGTAAACTGATTGTTACCACTGAAGGTCAGCCGTACGGCGATTCCGAAAGCCTTCACGGACATGACGGAGACAGAGCCGACAGTGGAGCAGATGGAGATATAGATAAGAGGGTTCTTGTTTCCGTAGACGGGAGCGACTCTGTAGATCATGACGGTGGAGAAGATCGCAACAGCCAGACAGTAGAGCAAGAAGCCTGGCTGCAGGGCGTAACCGAGGATTTCTTCGATGGTCTCCACGTCTTTGTCCGGAGGCGCGTGGAGAACGATCACCACGGAACCTAACAGGCACATCGCGCAGCCCAGTTTCCCGAGGGTTCCGAGTCGCTCTTGAAGGAAATAAGAACCAAGGACAGCACTGATACTAGTCAACAAGAGAGTCGGGTGTCAGAAAACAGAGAGGTGAGCCCACCCGATCAGAACACTCAACGCTCCCAGCGGAGTGACCAGAATTGCTGGCGCAAACGCATAAGCGGCAAAGTTGGCAACTTCACCCACGGCCACGTGTCATCCATGTCAGCGACCTGCTGTGAGGGATATAAATCC